AAATTACAAGTTCAAAAATGGCATCAACTTCTTCAGATTACCTACTTTTGGCCACTTTTGGCATCCTGCCAGCTGCCACGTGTGGTGCCATGCTGTGCTTTTGTTATGAGAGAGCCTCCCAAAAAAAGACAAACGAAATTCACAGCTCACGTTTTGGTAATATGGTTTTATTACGTCATTATCGTTTGACCAATGAAAAATCTTAATTTGACCAAGACCGTAATGATTCCAAAAGATTCCCCGTAATAGGCCCTCTAAACTAATGACGTAAGATATTGTTATTCTTTTGAAAAGTGAATAAAATTAAGATGCAAGGCGCACACCGCTCAGGGCCATATAATACCGTTTCAGCTTACGTTTACGTCATTAAATTCAACGCTACAAAGATGATATTCACAAACAATCGTATCGTAAAATCATGTGAGGCAGAAAAAATGAACATTCTTTAAAAAAAAAGCTCCAGACTTTTGAATTTCCAGTTTGATTTTTTATTTATTTTCATTATACTCGAAGGTAGAACGCCTAGCTCATTTGTTATTTGAAATGACGTCACGAGTTCAATTTAGATACTGAATAATCATTTTACGGTAAATATCCTTGGCCATTACAATTGATATTTCGCTTCCCATCGCTTCCGCAGGCTGTTGAATATTTTTATACTTTTGTTTATATCTCAGTTTATTTTATCAAATATTTCTTTCAATAGATTGAAATACCTTTACCTAACCAAGCCACATGTGTCAGTATCATCTTTTATTGTTTATCAATCAATTGTGGTAGCTGGAAACTGGAAAGCCTCATGGTTGTCTAATGCAAGATCAATGAGATTGTCTTATCAATATCATTATGTAGATTCTAACATGAATTGTGATGTGGTAGGTACCTAGTTATGTATTGTTCATTAGTCATTACTTTGACTTACCTCTATGTTAATTGTTAATGCAAACTTTTCTGTTGGTATGTGAACTGTGAACAATCTTCATGTCACTCAATTCTCTCAAGTTGTGACCGTCATGAGCCTCCTTTATTTTGTATTCTGTATAATGTAACTGGATGCCTTTACTAATATGGTCTTTGTATAAGATTGTTTGTTTCTAACCATACTTTGGTATTCATAACTTCTTATGAAAGAAAGTTGTTAACATTTTGAGCACCTATGTATGAGCTATGATCCCAGCGGATCTCACGACAAAATTGGGGAGCCAGATCTATGATCCGAGTGGATCTAGCGACAAAATTGAAGGGTCAGATCTATGATCCCAGTAGATCTCTCGACAAAATTGAGGGGTTGGATCTATGATCTGAATGGATCTCGGATCGGGATCCATGGGATCGGATCTCAGATCCATTTTTCCGGATCCAAGCACATGTCTGCCAAAGACTTCATAACCGGCGGCCCTGAGGGCCCTACACGGGTGATTTTGAGGGGCGTACCGAAGGCACCACACAATCCCTTAGTCTCGCTGAGCTTCTATCCCAATCCCATACCGGCTTCTATCCCAATTCCGGCTCAACTAATTATAATCAGCCCCCCCCCCTCCATGGGCCAGCAGCGCCGCGCCGGTGCCGGGGGGCCAGCGCCATCGGGGCGGCAGTCGGCCACGCGCACTCAGTGGTTAGCGCTTAGCACCGGCGGCTAGCGCACGCCCGGTGTGTTATCGGCCGTGAGCCGCTCCAAAACGGCTGCAGTAACTGGTCGATATAGGTAGTAAGCAGATGCAGAGATGCAGGTGGATTGATGACCGGCAGGCTTTTGTGTTTTACGAGGGTGAAGGGTCGAAGTCGGCTGCTAAGTGGTGAGCGGAGGCCTCTTGCACCAAAATCCTCTTGCACCAATGCTTGGATTATTTTGCATCGTATACCCAGTCCAAGTCTCAAATGTAACAATTTGCATGCAAAATTTTGCAAGCACATGTAGGATTATGTATTGGGCTATTGCAAACAAATTTACCACCGTTAGATTAGCTTATTCTGAAACCGGTTTTTCGATTTTACCTAGCTAGGTAGTTTGGTGCAAGAGGCCTCGGATTTTATCAGATGCCGGTTCACTATGACCTTTGTCCGGGTCCTGCCTCCTGGTACCCTGATGCACTCTTGGAGAGCCGAATCACAGCAAAACTCCATCCACGACTGTATCTATACGGCTTACGCTTTTCTGAAAACGTCTGCGTTTGGCCTTCTACGCGGGCCCGGCCGGCCGGCCGGCCGGCCCCGATTGGCGGTCCTCCAGTGACGTCACCGGTAGTGTTAAGCTGATTGGCGGATAATACATGGGAAGAACCGGGACGACATCCCCCTGTTGCATCGTAAGCAAAATAATTTTGCTGCTTTATCTTGTAACCACCAGGGAAACGCTAAATGTGGCTCTAAATTACGTATACCAACTTTGAATTAAGTTCATAGTTGCTGTTAAATAATCTGAAGGCCAGTCTGTGGGTTAGGAATATCAGAATCAATATTAAGCGAGGAAAAAGAAGAGTAAACATAGCTGTAGCTGACAAAAATGCATAAAAAGTTCCTAAAATGACCGTATGACGTAACATGTGGGCTAAAATAATATTTTACCGAGCAAGATTGAATGTCCTACCTGCGCAAAATGTGCCGACAAAACCTTAAAGGGACCCTCCCACCTTCAAAAAAGTTAATGAATTGGCATGAAAGTGATGTCGCTCGGTTCAGAAAGAGCGAAAACGAATATGTACCAAATTTCATCGAAAAATATTCACCGGTTTTCAATATATTAGACTTTTACTTTTGTTTACTTTTTGGGATCTCCGCTGTTCCTAGCGACTTTATTTGAAAGTGCGGCATTTGTTGCGCGCAAAGCAGCATATACCACCGCGTGCTACCAAACGTTTTAGTAAAAGATTTAAAAACTGTTAGACCTCCGCTGACGTCACAAATTCTTAGGGGGCATACCAATGCATTAGCCCCTTAGAATCCGAAAACTGCAAGTTTGAAATTCCATATCTCCGAATTAAAGCATTTTTCGATGTTGTGGGTGCCCAAACCGGTATTTTCAGGCCATGGCCACCAATTTGGCTATCTCAACTCAAAACTAATGTTAAGGTGGGATGGTCACTTTAAAACCGCGTGCAAACGTGCAGGACTAGCTTGTATACATTTTGTAGGTGTAAAATATTTCTTGACTTTTACAGCTTACCTTATGGTGATTTCCAGGGCACGATTTCTTAATTAGTTTTGATGCGAATCAACTGGAATGTGGAGCGCAAAATGCAAGGCAAAATGATTCACCCTGGCCTGACCTGAAATCCCTTCTGATTCTTCAGAAGATTCTTGATTGATGGAATAAATCACTTCTGATTTATTCCACAAACACTTCACTAAGTTGAAGTGTTTGTGGAATGTGGAACTACGCAAATGACTACCCGTCACAAGGCCGTATATAGGAGGTAGAATGGTTAGCCATTTGTTTACATCGGTGACCTTGACAGATGTCAGCGGGTGTCTGCCAATTTTTGCCAATATTAATTTTCCTAGGAGTTTATACTCTAAGGCAGTTTGATAGGTATATGTCAAGTTTAGGTCCTAACTACAATTGTGACGCTGTTGATACGAATATGAAACAGCAAAAATTTTAGGTTTTAGGTTAGGTTAGGTTGTAGGTTTGTAGGTTTTAGGTTGTAGGTAGGTAGGTTTGTAGGTTAGGTTAGGTTAGGGTAGGTTTGTAGGTTGTAGGTTGGTAGGTTATAGGCAAGTAGGTAAGGTTAGGTCAGGTTTGATTATGTTTTTTCTTTTATTTGCGAGACATATGAGTATCATTTTTGGATTCAGGAAGTCAAATAATGTAAAAATATGAAAAATTTATCAATGAAATCTTCTTAGGACTTAAACTTGACATTTACCGTTTGATATTAACCTTTAGGCTCTCCTAGAGCCTAAAAAAGATAATTTACTGCACAGCAAAGTCTTAAAAATCGACAAAACTTTGACACCCCGTGATGTCATCTGTCTCCTGAGCCCTCCCTATGTGGCAGCATAGAACCGCAAACCAGAGGCCTGGCCAGTGGCCCATCATTTGCGGGTAGTGTGACTACTGACTACCTATATCTTTCAGTTAATTTTTTTTGCCTAGGTGTTTGTATGAAGTATGAACAGATTTAACAACTGCCAACTGGGGCCCAATCTAAGCAGAACTTGCTGGATGCTCTGGCCTATGTTCAATACAAGGCTGCATAAACCCAATTCATTCCCAAGTCCGAACAATCCCTTCAATCTCAACCACTGGGCTCTTTTTCAGAGCATGACATTACCTGATGTGCATTAGTGGTTGGTTTCTCTGAAAGCATCAAACAGCGGTGTGTCGTGAAATCGGGCCATCCACCCTGGTAATTAGAGAACATAGATGCCTAAGTTAAGCATGCTCATCAAAACCAGACATGGCCTGTCCCACCTAACAGGCTTTTGCAACTGACTCAACTGACTGCAGCTGCTCCCACAAACTGCTGATCAGCTGATGTCCAAAAATCCCTGTCAGATCTGATTTACCCTGTGTCACAGAATCTACGTTGTCTGAGAGACATCGAGTGCTGTGGTGCTGTTCTCTGGATTGCTAACAAACCCATGCTCACTGCTCACAACTGGTAGTTCAATGCTCTACTAACTGAGCTATCAGACTTGCAACTAATAATTGACTGCAAATTGCAATTGCTTTCATAATGATGAATGTGAAGATGTGGTTTATTGTATTTGTCTTGACACTTTTGATATGCTAGGTTATTCACACTTTTGGTCAGTACTGTGAAGTGAGCTTTCGCTTTGAGTAGTTACTACTTATATCTTTGTATGATAAGTGAATATGATAAGTGAGAACTAGTTATGAAGTTCTCATTGTTCTAGAATGACAACAGGAGCACTACCTCAGTAGGTACTAGGGGCCTGTCCTTAGCCTGTGGTATTACACAAAACTGCTTTATCCTTCCTGACCACTCATTTGACACATTTGGTGTTAACGGCTTGCTTAATTGCATGCTGTCCACAGATTTAAGATATATATTCATTTTGTTCAAGAAAGTCATGCTGTCTTCACTATGCAGAAGAGTTTTGAGACATTTGGTGATCAGATCAAGAGAAGTCAGGGGAGCTTCCTATGCCTTCCCTTCAAGAACATTTCATCTGAACAGCATACCCACTGTCAGACTCAGGTATGTGCTAGCTTTACAGCATGATAAGTGTGTTATCTCTAACATTTTCTCTTTCTGTTGTCCAGTCTCTACCAAACTTATGTAGGTATGTGTGGAAAGGCAATGCCACAATGGTGACATTAAAAACTAGCAGCCATTACTAGCCGGTGCTTGCTACTACAGATACTGCTCATGAGTTATTTTTACCTGCTTTGTTTCAACTGGCTGTGAATATGGCCTCACAGCAAGAGCATTCTTTTTTAAAGTCATTTATGAGCATTTCTGAGCTTCCAGTTGAGTGAGAAATTTCACATTGATGATTTGAGGTAAAGACTTCAAAAGAATATGATACCTAAGTGTGTTTCACCACTGTGACATTTTCCTGGGAATGTATGTGGCAATTTGTAAACTTGTTTTGATTTGGGTACCAGTTAGTCAGTTAACATCAGAATTGTTTAAAGATGCCCAGGTAGGGTGTGGAGATTGACCTGAGGCGTTTCTTTGCTCCTGGTCGACAGAACAATGGCGAGTTGCGTCCACTTTAGCACGGCCACGCCACCACTTACAGACGGTGTCAGACCGGAGCAGCAGTCAGTCGAGGAGGTGGTGCGGAGATTCTCCTCTCGCCAGAGGGATTGGCACTTCAGACCTATCGATAGCTTACTGTCAGCTCTCAAAGACACAGGTATGCAGTATCCTCTGTCGAAGAATATGTGATTTTAATTTGCCATTGGGAAACAGTTGGGAAACAGCACATTCATGGGCGCAAAATGTCCTCGCAGTCGGCGCGCCCCTAACCCCCAACAAACAAACAAACAAACAAACAGCACATTCAACTCTATCTCATTAGATTAGTACTGAAGTGAATATGTACTTCTTATGTTGGCACATGGTCGACGCTTACGCCCAATATCGAATTTCAGACGCGGAGGACCGCGTAAGGAACTGTTTGTCGATTTTGGGCGCCTTCCGTTCGGTGGCCGGCGGTCGGGGAGCCACTTCAGAACATCTAGAGCAACTCTGGAATCTGGTTACAGAGGAAGGTGAGTATGAGCCACGATGTGATTCTCCGTCATAAGAACAGTTCGTGCTTCCTTACAGCTGTTCTTGCGGATGCATATCAACGATTTTTTGAGTGATGTCGAAGGCATGGGTGTATTTACGAATGTCTTTAGGGATTTCACAAATATTTGGGAAACTATTGCAGATTGCTCTTTTTACAGCAGTTTGTGACTACATCTTATGCATTTTTTTTCATCTGTTAACAATTTTAACCTGAAATCAGTCTGAGAAGATCACTAGCTGATCTTAAGACTCGTGTGTTCACGCGTATCATTAGTCTCCAACCCACCCTCGGATGCCTCAACCCGCCGTCTCTCCGCCTGTCCGCTCCGGCAGGCGGGGGTGCGCCGTCCGCGGAGGCCGAACTGCTGTGGCTGCAGCTGTACCGGGACGCGGCGCTGCCGCCGCCGGCGTCTCTGAGAGACGCCGTGGCGGCGCGCGCCGAGCCGGAGTCGGTCGGACACCTGGTGCGCTGTCTCTGCGCCGCCGGCCGGCTGGCCGACACTGCGCCGCTGCTGGAGCGACTGCGCGCCGCCGGTCACCAGCCGCCGCTGGACGCCCTGCACGCCGTCATCGTGGCGCACGCCGCCGACGGGTGAGACGGCGACACGGGGACGGGGAGGGCGCTGCGAGTGCGATTTAAGGGTGTCACCGGTGACGGTGATAACGTTTTCCGTCTATACCGGTTGACCTGATCCTTATCTGCCTCCCCTAGTGACTTGACCCCTATCTTTCCTATTGACCTGACCCCATCTATCTTTCCAAGTGACCTGACCCCGCTTGTGACGCTCGTCCCGTGGGTCTCCGTCAGTGACCTGGACACGGCGCGGGACATGGCTCAGGCGCTGCTCCCGGCCGCCTCCGAGGACGACTCGGACCACCAGCTGCTGCTGATGCGCGTCTACATCGCGGCGCGCCGGCCGGGCCCGCTGGCCGCTCTGCTGTCCCGCTGGTACCAGCAGCGCGGACAGCTGACGCTCGGACAGGGCGTGTCGCTGCTGGGACAGCTGCTCAGCAGCGGCCAGCTGGAGCAGCTGCAGCAGGTGAGCTGCCGCGCCAGCTGCGGCCAGGGGACGGTCCGGCCTACGCGGGACTTAGCATCACCGTTTAGTGACAGTAGACGTTCTTGTCAGGTTAGTGTTATTACGTAGTTACGGCAGGTTTTTGAACATCATGGATAGGAAAGAGAAGACAAGAGACAAACAGCTGCTTAGGCGTGGATGCTCGGTAATCCTTGTACGGGCTCAAAGTGGAGCTCCATGAAGGTTAGGGCTGACTAAATCCGATGACTGGATCTAACTGCGGCGCCGGTTGTGGTGGTGCCCGGAGTTCCCTCTGCACCCTCTCTGACCTTCCACCGACCACAGGTGGTGCCGCTGGTGCCGTGGCCGCGCTGGGGCCACCACTGGGGCGGCTGTGTCCGCCTGCAGCGGCGGCTGGTGCGGCTCGGCCAGCACCGCACCGCGCTGCTGCTGCTCACCACGGCACTGAGTCACGGCGGCTCGGAGCGCGAGCTGGCCCGGCTGGCGCGCGCGCTGCTCACAGAGATGGCCGTCACGGACCAGGTGAGCCCGTCGCCGCGGCCGGGTCAGCTGCCCGATGGATGCGGTGGGGCTCCCAGGCGGGACCTCCGCACACCTAACGGACACAACTATTCCCCACACACTCTACATCAAACTCAGGGGTGTCCTCGTATATTGTTCGACGGCTTCCCTGATTTAAACGATGGGCCCAGGGTCCCTTGCTAGCTGTGTTTGCCTTCTATCGTTGTTATCCAACTGCTAAGCAGTGCCAGATTTCTTGTTTCAAAGCTTCTCCAGACACACAAAGCCATTGACACACAAATATCACCAGCATGGCCCTCCCCCTCCCCCCCCCCCCCCCCAGCCGGTGTCCGCGATCGGAGAGGTGTGCGCCGCGCTGCACGACGGCCCCCTCCTGCCCACCGCCTGGTTCACTGCCGCCGAGGTACTGTACCGGGTCGGCCGGTGGAAGGCGGCGCTGGAGGTGCTGCTGGCCGCCCGCCGCGCCGGTCTGCCACTCAGAGAGCACCTGTTCTGGCCGGCGCTGCTGCAGCAGGCCAGGGAGGGCAGTGTGGAGGGTAGGTGGCAGAGGGTACCGCGGGGAACAGGGCGATGCTGTCAGGGCGGGACGGATAAGGTAGAGCGGGAAGCACAGAGGTCGTTGGACGGGGCGGTATGGGTCTGGTAGTGTGGATAAATTTTAAATGAATAATTGTTTTATTCATAGATAATAGACTAAATGTGCAATCTCCTTTCTGACATTTGTGGATGCCAAAGTAGCGTGCTCGTTAACCCGTGACCTGGTGGGGGGGGGGGGGCTATTTTTTGCCCCCCCCCCCTCCAGACTTTTCGATATATCTCCAGAACCGCTGCGCCAATCGTCATCAAACAAACTTTCAGTACCCTCCCGGACATCAATTTTACACATTGTGACCAAAATTTTTTCCAAAGGCTATGATAGGTTGGCCGGAAATGACGTCAGAGTGACGTCATATTCTGTCGTTTTCGACCCAAAAAAGGGTTTCGCGGGAAGAGCTGTCAGGCCTATAGCTTTGCAAATACAGAAAAATGATAAAGACATAAAAGCTGTAGAATCAACAGGGCTACAAAACTGCTATCTCGGATTTTTGAAATTTTTGGATTCTGACCCCCAAAAATCAAAAAATATTTTTTTTTGATATAATAATCGAAAAATCCAAAAAGTTTTTTGAATTTCGCAAAAACCGGAATATATGTGATAGTCCTTACCGCCTTCCATCCATATACCAAATTTGAGATTGATACCTCTTTTTTGGCGAAGTTATAGCGAAAAAACTGTTCAAAATTGATGACGTCAAATTTTCAAACTCATTTTTTAGCAATTCTAGACCCCGTAGCGCAAAACAAAGACCATCATTAGACTCCCCGTGACGAGCTGCATCGAATCAATACCCATTTTATGCAAAACTATCAACTTTAAAATTTGACCTTTTTTGGCCTGACCTTGACCTGACCTTGACCTGAACTTCACCAGAAAGTGACCTAAGCCGTACCTGATAGTCTTATAACCAACACCATTGAGTTGGAAATGAAAAATTGGCCATAAAACATGCATCACACAACCCTAGTAAAGTTGGGCTCATGTGACCTGACCTGTGACCCTTGGTGACCTGACCTGTGACCTGACCTGGTATTGTCAGTGACCTCTAATAGCAACATATCTACTAGGCAACTGACGCCCTATCGCTGATTCTCGACAAAATGCGTTTTCCTCGGTGTTATAGCGCATTCCCTAGAAGACCCGTGAACGGTGAAACATTCCATCTTTGACCTGACCTGTGACGTCATCGGTGACCCCGAGGTCAATGAAATTTGGTTTCCCTCGACAAATTTGACAGGCCTTTCGAACGCCGTTTGAATTTTGTGGATCCGTCCAGTAGTTTCGGAGATATGAGGGGGGGGGGCAAAAAATGCCCCCCCCCCCACCAGGTCGCGTTATAAACAGACCCCACCAGGGCGCGGGTTAAGGTTCACTGTGTGGCTTTGATGTCCACTGTTTCGTGTCTCGTGGTTGTGAGTCTGTGGCCCGTCGTACCGTTCCGACTCGTATGTAACTCCTGCGCCGCCGTCCGCCGCCAGGTGTGCGCGACACACTGTCCGAGATGGTATCGTCGGGCGCGCCGCCCGGTCTGGAGACGCTCCGAGAGTACGCCCTCCCCGTGTACGAGCGGGACGCGTGGCCGCCGCCCGAGCGGGTGGTGCAACACCTGAAGGAGGCCGGGCTGACGGCGGCGGCAGCGGCAGACGCGCTGGTAGCCCGTCTGCTGGCCAGCGGACACTGGCACAAGGCGGCCGCGGCCTGTGAGTGGTAGGGGTGCTGGGCAATGGGCATACTGGGTCCTGGTTAGGGGCACACTGTGCCCGGCACAGTCACCACAATCGTCACGGGTTATCGCCGTTTCGGTCAGTCCGTTGGCTTTTTGTGTAGTCTGTATCACCCCATCAGCCGTTTCATCTGAGTGACCAGATTGGCAACGAGCGCCCTAACCCGACTGACAACTAGCACCCTAACTGACAACGAGCACCCTAACACGACTGACAACCAGCACCCGAATCTGACTGACTGGGACAGGCAGGTCCCGCCCCATGACTGATGGGACCCCAATGACTGACCGGACCCGTCCCCTAACTTACCGAATCCACCGCAATGGTCCTCCTCTAACTGACCAAACCCTCCCCTCTGCTAACATAGCCTTCTACTCCCCCACCCTGTCTCTCACCAGGTGAGCGGTACGCCTCCTCCGTCTCCGTGGCCGTGCTGATACCGGCCATACTGTACTCCGCGCAGCATCCGGCCGGGCCCGCGGTGCCCGCTGACGCCTGCGCCCGCCTGCTGCGCTGCGCCCTGGACCGGCGGGCCGCCCACGAGGACCCGGTGGGGGCGGTATTTGTGGAGCTGAGCCAGGCGGCGGCGCGCTCCCCCCGACAGGCCAATCTGCTGCGGCAGCTGGTGCAGGTAGGAGCGAACGAGAAGGGATGGACGGGCTGGCAGACAACAGCGGGTTACTTGAGTGAGGCGGTGTGTCGGTTTTACTGCTGATATAGCCGCATGATCATACGCTGATGTTTGGTAGCATATTGCACATTATTGCTTCAAGCGACCTGTTTGATAGCAGTGCCAGTCACTTCCTGACTTACTGCGTCATTCCATGATTGTCGGGATATGGCACGTAATCCGTTCTTGGACTTGTTCATAGTCTTTGTCACCCTTCCATGACACCCCTATTGATCGGTACAGGTAGCGGCTGCGCCTCTGACACTGACTGTCCCCTCCGTCCGTTACAGGCGGCGGGCCCGGCCGGGCTGCGTGTGTCCCCAGCAGCCGCCGAGCTGGCGTGTGAGCGGCTGCCGCCGGCCGAGCTGGCGGACCTCCAGTCGGCGCTACAGCGGCTGGCTGACGCAGCCGTCAGCTCCCAGCCCTGGGAGAACACCGACGCCGGCACCGGACTGGTGAGACCGGGGATGGTGACACTCCCTCTCCCAACACTGACAGGGAGCGGCTGGGGGAACGGGTTTGATGCAGGGAAGGGGCTGCATTTGATGATGTGACCGTTAGAATTGCCGGATGGGCTCGATTCGTGTCATTTTCCAATGGTTATATTATGTACAACGGTCATAAGTGGGCTACCAAATAATTCTCAATAATATTCTTCACTCAGACTAGACAAACTCAGACTAGACACTCAGACTCAGACACATTTGCTCGCGCTGTCGATGACACAGTTTATGGTTTGCTGCAGCCTCAGGACGCCTCTGTGGACGACCTGGAGGACCACCTGGTGGAGCTCACCAAGAAGGGCGGAAACACGCGAGGAATACTCAGGAAACTCATCCTTATGCACTGCCGAAAACACAATTTGGAGCGAGCCGTTGCGCTGGAAGAGGTAAGACCCCTGGGCCCTGATCTTGACCTGGTGATCTCGCCCAGCTACGGTTTTCACCCGTGAGCCTGGCCAGTGAACTTGATATTCTGCCCAACCATTGTTACATGCACCTCTGTTCCTTTGAGTCTGCGCCTCTCACACTACTAAATTCTCCAACTTCCTCCTCTTACCCTACCATCTGACCCTGCCCTCTGACCCGCCCCTCCGCTCGGTAGGAACTGTCCCGGGTCAGTGAGCCGTTGGCGGACGGTGGGTGGCTGTTCCCGCCCCTCTAACCCTCCCCTCCGTCCCCGGTAGGAGCTGTCCCGGGTCAGTGAGCCGGGCGCGGACGGTGAGCCGCTCACCCCGGGCGTGCTGTCCGCCCTGCTGGCCGTTCACGTCCACCACGGCCGGCTGGAGGGAGCGCTGGACTATCAGCGCCGCCTGGAGCGGAGCCCCGGCGCCGGCCGGTTCCTGGACCAGTTCAAACGGCTCGACCTGGCCGCGCTGCTGGTGCGCCGCGGCCACTCAGACGGTGAGAGTGGGAGGGGAGACGGAGCGGCGCGGTGGTCGGGTGGCGGGGGCTTGAACGGGACGAAAAGAGAAGTGTTGCGGCGATAGGAAGAGAGGCAAAGGGAATTGGAAGCGGGGGGTGGCGAAGGCGTGTCTTGTTGATGCTTTTATTTTGACTGGCGTACCTGTGTTTCGTTCAATCCGATGATGGTGCAATGTATGTTAATAGTTTCTGCCAAATATTCACCCCGTGGTATGCTGTACGATTCTGATATGACGGGGTACGTTTTTTTTTGTCCTACACTTATCATTCCTCCGAGTTCGGTGTTTTGCCGATTCGGTATGTGCGCTGCTGTTTTTCCCTTTAGGTCACTCCCATATCGTCAGCTTTCGTCCTCTGTTCGAGATCACCGCCATTCCCGTCTGAAGTCACATTTCCTTTACTTTCCGCCACTGATCCCCAGTCTGACATCCCTGTCTGACGTCACCTCGTTCCCTATCCTGCGTCGCTCCCTGTCTCCGCCCTTGGCTAACGTCTCCCCCTCGCCGTTCCATGTTGCAGACGCGGTGTCGCTGCTGGAGCGGCTGGAGCCGGAGGACGACCGGTCTCGGCTGTCGATGGGCTGCTGGCGCCTGCTGGCGGCTGCCGCCGACTGGGGCGACCCGGAGCTCACCGGCCGACTGCTGCGTCTGCTGGAGTCCAGGGGTGTGGTGGCGCCCACGGCTCACCACTGGGGACAGATGGTCCGGGCGCACCTCGTCAGGTGAGTGCCCGGCGCCCCCGGGTTGGTGCAGGGGTCAGTAGTACTGGTGACTGGTGAGTCATGCCTCATGAGGCGCCCCTGTGGTGGTGCGGGGTCAGCTGGTGGGTCACGGGGCGCCCTCGGCGTGATAATCTGGTCGGTTGGTGAGTCATTTGTGCAGGAATGGTTGATAAAGAGGGCTCCTGCATTGACTTCCGCCGGTCAAAGATGCATCATTCGCCAACACATACAAGCGCGGCTCGTGTAACTGCGATTGCTACTCCGCCTCTAACCGCGCTAGGGTCCGATTACCGTGCGTCTATTCAACTGCCGGTTCCCGTGGCGCGCTGGCCATGCGACCATCCGCCGCTACCGACTCGCCCGCGTCTGCGCGTTCGCATTAGTCACCATCCGGCGGCGCCCGCGGGGGGAAGCGGTGCCGATAGCGCGCCGCCCCGAGCTCCCCCGACTCCGCGCCCGGCTGCAGAGCGAGTGTGGAGGCGGCGGCGATGGAGCCGTACCGCGCCGTGCTAGCCGTACTCGCCGTGCTCCCGGCAGCGGCCGTGGATGTGACGCCCGAGTGTATCGGCTGTATCTGTCTCGCCACCAGCCGCGGGTGTAACCTGTCGCCCGGCCTGAACGCGAGTGGCGCCCTCGGCCCGTTTGGCATCACGCTCCCCTACTTTGAGGACGCCAGGATAGGCGACGAGCCGGATTTCAGCGATGAAACGCATGAATCGTGCGCCGGGGACCCGTTCTGTGCGGCGCTGACCATCAGGAAGTACATGGAGCGCAACGCCCGCGACTGTGACGGGGACGACCGACTGACCTGTGCCGACTTTGCACGGATTCATCGGCACGGCGCGCCCGGCTGCTTTCTGACGGTGGACACATCTGGTTACTGGAAGAGGCTCCAAGACTGTGTGCACATTTATACCAGCGCTTAACACGGGATAATGCCGGTTGATAAAGGAGTTTAGCACAAAGAAGATCGCGTGCCCCGGCCGGAAGAGAGGAAATAGAACTGAGACGGCTGGAGATTCGCATTTAGAAACCGCATTCGTATTCAAGACACAGTGGTTCAAGTGTGTAATCAAATGGTCTGTCGACGAATGCTATGAAAGTTAGATGAGTGGTGGGGAAACCGCGGTGTCGAGAGAGCAAGATGACGAAATGTGTGTGATGTTTGGGGAAAGGCCGCAGTGCAAATGATGTGGTCGGCTCACGGCTGGTTGACGTCTTGTTGGACGTTTGACAAACAATCGTGCGTTAATTAACGTTACCTACGCTTTTTTTGCACGCCGTGGGGCTAGAGTGCTCGAGTCATATTCGTAGCCATATTAGTTCGTTCATGCTTTTTCAATTGTAATAGATACGCCTTGTTTCATCGTGGGCCGACGGTGCTATGTACTTTGTACTTTAAGTCGTATGTGATTTTGTCTGAAATATAACTTGCATTTACCTTAGCCGAGGCCTCTCGCTAGCTACGTTTTACATCAGAGGACGCTAACTGAACTGACGGACCGGTCCGTGCCCGCCCGCAGCGGCGACGTGGCCGGCGCGGTGGAGCAGTTTTGTCGGTGCGCCCGCGACCACCGGCTGGCCGCCTACTCGCACGGTCTGATGGTGGAGGTGGCCCGGCTGGAAAACTCGGACCGGCGGCACCAACTGCTGGACGACGTGGCGCAACAGGTGGGCAGTACTACAGACACGCTGGGAGGGGCGGACGGCAGGGAGGGGCACAGAGATCTGAGACTGTAAGGGAGAAGTGAGAGTGAGAGCTCCAACTGTGGGGGTGAACTGGTAGAGCAGGGGACGCCGTCACTGACGGAAAGGGTGATGAGGTTGGGCGAGGGAGGAGGGGAGGGGCGCATGGACACAGTTGTGACACGCGAGGCCCCAACCAGTAGTCAGATCATGTGACCACAGGACATGACCGGTTCCCCCGCCATGACAGGACCTGACCGCTCCTCCACCGTGCCGAAATCTGACTTAACCGCTGTCTGACCGCTGTTCCCCACAGCTGGCGAAGCTGCACGGCGCCGACGCCGCCCAGTATGAGCTGGCGCTGGCGCTCGCCGAGGCAGGTCACGTGATCCAGGCGCGACGCGTCATGCAGGTAAGGGCGAGGGGGTGACGCTCAAGCCACACGGAATCAAAGGTCCGTGAGTCCAGGGGTGAACAAATGTGCTGAGTTGGGGTAGCACGGGCGCAGCAAATCCGCCGCCGCCCTAGCGGTGACCTTGACCTCCGCCGTCTGTTGCGGCTCTAAAGCCAAGCCGGCGTGGGATTGGGAAAGCTCGTGCTACCCCAACTCGGCACAATTATCCACCCCTGCGTGAGTCGCGACAATCAATGCCGCCGAGCGTAGAGCAATAACTGATGACGGCACATAAATCATATGTGCTCCCGCGAGAGGGTAGCTCGCTGTTCCAATATGAGTGATCTTCATTCCAGGGGCTCTCGTTTATTATTTACATACCGAACAACGTTGTTAATTACGATTATGGCTGCTGCAGAGACGTGAAATACACATGCCAAGAGCAGCTTGGCAGCTAAACTAGGACTTATAACTATTGTTCGAGTGCAGCTGGCCCCCGGTCCAGGGTGACAGCCGTCTCAGCGTTTCGTGTCAGTCCTATCACCGTTGAACCTTCACTCTCTACCTCCCCCTCAGACACTGGGCCGGAGCGCGCACTTCTCGGGTGACCGGCTGAAGCGGCACTGCAGTCGGCTGGCGCGCGCCGGCGACTCGGACGCGCTGGTCACGCTGCTACAGGCGGTGCCACACAAGGAGGCACGCCAGGCTGTCTACTGGGCACTGCTCAACGCTTACGGTGGGTGGCGGGATGGTGGGACGACTGTGGTGGGACGAGTAGGATGGTTGTGTTGGAACTGATTGGCTGAACTGGTAGGCTGTGCTGGGTGTTGAGTGATAATGGCAATCGTACATTTCAGTCCTCGCGGGAATATGCCTTGGAAAATAGCCATGGCGACGCATGTGCGGCTTTCCTGACGATAAGTATTTGTGGTCCGACTAGAGTGCCATCCGCGCTTTTGTTGATGATGCCCTACTGACGACGTATTCGTTGTCTTACCGACGATATTTAGTTGTAGTCTTGCTAACAGGCAATGGGTAATGGCTGTGGACATTTTCTTGCTGTTCCGTCTCGCCGGAACGTGTTTTGTCGGTGTAATTGGCCTCGGTTCGTCGTCCTGACGTGTTTCCTCCGCTCTCCGCCCGACAGAGCGGACCGAAGACCTGGCCTCTGTGGAGGACGTGCTCAGTCGACTGCAGGAGGACGAGCTGCTCACCGGTAAAATTGTCGCCCACGCCCGCCGCCTGGCCGCGCGGCTGCGGGCCCGGTGACGGCCGCCGGCGGGGTCAGGTCGCCGTCATATGGTGGTGCTATAGACGGTACAGGTGTGTACCGTCGTATCGTGTCGCAGGCTGTTATAGTTGTCTGTTGATTTCATGTGTTACAGTATGGCTCAATTGTTTAAATTAAACATGAAATAAATGTGTTACTCGAAATATTTGCCGGTGTTAACACGTTAACGTTAAAGACGCCGAAGGTTGGATTTTACTATGCATATGCTTAAACTGCTTGAACAAAATAAGCTAAATTAATTACAAAACATGTATTGTAACACAACTTGGGACATCGGCATGCTGGTATTTCCGCGGATTATTAGTCTCAACAAACATTGGAGCTGAGATGAATTTACCTAGTCAAATTCTGCCGTTCTTCGCACATGTTCGTTAGATGTTATGATTATTGGTTATAAAGTTAGCGCGAACGGGCACTGGACTGAAATTATTGCGAAGGTAGGGCACTGGACTGAACGCGAGGCTACGTGGCCACTGCTGTGCTACTGGCGTCATTTATAGCCCGGATGAATGCACAGATAACTGCTATCATATGCAGTGTAACGACAGTAGGGCGACAAATACGCAACAGTAAGATTATTGCTACAAACAAGTAATGTTTTGAAAAACAACAAAACGAGATGTAAATATGAGTTGAGCACTGAGCAATGTGAGCTGAATGAGTTAACAATTATGAGACCACCAACAACGCGCGGCGAAGGGAACCAGGAATGTGTACCAAAGACCGAAGAACAAACGGCCAACAGGACAGGCCCGTATTGTACCCGCAAATGGACGGCCGAAAGAGCGTTAGTAAGGGACCCGTGGAGGCGTCACACAACGCCGCGAGAGATCCACTTATCACGGCCCGATTAAAAAGGCACGGGGATCATGATGGAAGACTTGGTTCCTGCACCACTGACTCAAGACTAGTAACAGCAGCACTAACACCCCTCAACCCTCCTGGCCAATCACAATGGGTTTCTGACGTCACTGTACGTCTGACCAAGCTGACGTCACTGACCAATCACAGCTCGTCCCTGGCGGGCCGCTGGAGCGCCTCGTGGGCCTGCCTGGCGCTCCTGTACCGCGGGTGGGCGCGGACCTGCGCCACCGAGTGCAGCACCAGGCGTATTGTCTCTGCCACGTCCAGAGTGTAATTGGTAAACTTCTCGTGGGCGCCCAGCTCCGGGTGCTCGCCCTGGGGGAGCAGGGGGGACGGGACGGTCAGCGTTTGGCGGTCAACTTACTCACTCACCGAGGAAAGCATCGCAGGTCAGGGTCGGATGGATAGAGTACCAGTACAGACTAACGACAGAGTTACTGTCAATAAGAGAGCCGTACCACATAAGCCGTTGGCTGAGCGACTCCTTAGAGACTTCTAAAGAATGCCGTTTCATTTCCCTTGGTTTGTATGCCGTTTCATTTCCCTTGGTTTGTCGGACTAGTTGACAAACCAAGGGAAATCAAACGGCATTCTTTGAAAGTCTCTAATGGCCGCCCCACACCGGACCTCGCATGCGGGTTGCGAGTTTGCGGGTTTTGAGTTTGAGGGCATAATACTAATTCATAGAGTGATTAACCGTTCCCTTATGGTAACTTCATGAATGCAGTGAAGCCGGTACACCTTCAAGAAATTACACATAGTCGCAAAACCAGCGCAACGAACCTAAATTCGACTTCAACGAAAAACCCGCAAACCTCGCAGAGCTCGCAGACCTCGCAGCGAGGAAAATAGAAAGTTGACTCAAAATCAACTTTTAGAATGCAATGCAAGGTGGCTCGCAAGCTAAAAACATGCAGACTCGTTTGTTCGATGGTAGTGTGGCTCACTCAGCTTAGTTTGTATTATTTGATTTTGAGGAAACCCGAAAACCCAAAAACTCGCAGCCCGCATGCGAGGTCCGGTGTGGGGCGGCCTTAAGGCGTACGAACCTGGTTCTGCGGCGTGATGAGCTCGGGTTTCTCCCATGTGGTGTAGGACAGCCCTCGGAGCCGCGCCAGGTCGCTGTAGCAGTCGGGGTCCTGGCAGTGATAGAGCTCGAACACGGCACCCCAGTCGGGCAGCAGGAGCATGTGGGTGAGCCCGGCGCCGTGCAGACCGACCAGCACGTCTGAGCCGGACACCAGCCGCACCTGGTCCACGAACGGGGTGGCGTGTGTGAACGCCGCCTGGAGCACGGAGAGGGGAGAGTCAGCACTGAGATGATTACTCAGCACGGAGGGGTAGTCAGCGCGGGGAGGGTAGAGCGTCAGTGAGGAGGGAGGGGTAGAGCGTCAGCAAGGACCGAAGAGGGCGTCAGCAAAGAGAGGGTAGAAAGTCGGCCCGGCGAGAAAACGCACCACTACCGGGGTCGGGGAAATAAACTATCCTACGGTAAATAATCTACCATCAAGAGACGAGAAATCGCAACCCAGCCCATTTGCCCAACCCAGCGACAACTTGCAAGAAACCATCCCCACTCCACAGAGCATTTCACATTCCACACTGACTTCCCCACGGCTCCAGCCGTCCCCATATATGACCCACCTTGACCACCTCGACTCCCCCCCGCAGGGGGCTGACCGTGGTCAGAGCTGCTGCTTAGCCGGGGTAACCTGGCCCCGGCTTTGCGGCGGCTGTGACTTCGGCCAGTAAGGGGAGTAGCGCCCCCTCGGCCCCAGCTTGACGCGCGTTTGACCTGGACTTGCCTTGCTTACTGGATGGAGTGTCTGCAGGATTGGCCCCGCAGGGGGTTGGCAGTGGCTCGGGCTGCTGTCGGACTGGGTTCCTTGGGCCCTTGCCCCGCGGCGGCCCTGGCCTCGGCCAGCAAGGGGAGTAGCGCCCCCTCGGCCCCAGCTTGACCCATGCTTGCCTGCGACTTGCTTTGATCGCTGGATGGACAGATGGTACGGCCCGACTTTTCTCGGTTTCCGTGGTTTTGTTTCTCTTGAGCGGTCTTTGTTTGCTTTTGCTTTGCTTCTCACCGGATGTCCGCGTTTCGTTCGATCACAGCTTTCTGATTCCTTTTCCCCCCTTTTTCGTTGTTTTTGCACCCGCAGGAACACAGCCGAGTTGGGCTAGTGTAAGGGGAGTGGCGTCCCCTCGGGTACCAGCCGGTTTTACTAGGCTAGGCGAGCCGACCCGTACCCCAGGACAACGGGATCCTGGAGGTTGAGCCCCCCACCGTGCGGAGCCAGTCGCGGTGGCTGGGCAACACGCCTCTTTGGCCCTGAGTTCTGTAAGGGCGGGACACTCAGTGGGGCGCCGCACTTGAGGAGCCATTCCCAGTCGTGATGCCGCCGGGGGTGGTGTCGGAGAGGTGTCGCCGGCGGGGTTCGGGCACTTGTGCTCGTCCTCCGTCGGTGGGGCTGATCTGTCGCTGCCCCTGGCGGTGACTCGGCGAGGCGTCAAGGGAGGAGGCGGTATCCGACCGTGGGGGGTGGTGAGCCTCTCTCTCCCCCTCGGAAGGTGCCGCCAAGTCCCGTACAGTCAGCTCGGCCGTCCCAGGCCTTGTAGCGGCGCCGTTGCGGAGCGTCGGCGGCCGAGCTGGCGGAGACCAACTCTTTCACATGGATAACTTGACCGATCCCCCTTCCCTCCAGTCCAATCCCTCGGCCTCGGCCGATCCTCGCCCGTTGGCCTCGGCCGACAGGCGAACGGTGCTCGACAAAGGTCCACGATCTCCTAAGATCCTTATCTTCCGGAGCGCAGACAGGGAGCTGAGCTCTCTGTCGCCCTTCCAGCGGAAGGATGGCTGCGACCGGTTTGGTTCAATCGTTCGTTGTGACCGGATGCGTGATGGCGCGCTGGAGGTCGAGTTCAGGAAAAGCGAGGAGGCGGCGAAAGCGTTGGACGCTACTCGCTTCGTGTTCTCCGAGGGACGGGCATCCGGCCGGAGGCTCGTCTCCATCCCGCTTACAGTGGAGCCCCACCGCTCTAAGAACTCCTCACGAGGGGTCATTAACTGCTTCGATCTGAGGGGAGTGAGCGACGAGGACATTGCGGACGGGCTCGCCGATTTCGGCGTGACAGCGGCTCGCCGCATCATGACGAAGAGAGGCACGGTCTCGACCAACAACATCATTCTGACTTTTGACTCTACTGACTTGCCGAGTGAGATTCGCGTGGGCTACGTGAAGGTTCGCGTGCGGCCTTTCGTCCCAGCGCCCATGCGCTGCTTCCGCTGCCAACGTTTCGGCCACACAAAGGACAACTGCCGAGGAAGACCCACGTGCTCCAAGTGTGCTTCGCAGGACCACACTGACGAAACCTGTGACTCGGAGACCCCCCGATGCGTCAACTGCGGGGAGGGGCAGACGCCGCACTCCGCGTATGATAGGTCTTGCCCTGCATACGTCAAGGAGAAAGAGATCATGACCATCAAGGCTACCAGAAATTTGTCTTTCAAAGAGGCCCGGGAGGTGTACAACCAGAGTCACCCGAAGACCTCGTATGCCCAGAAGGTGAGAGTCACAAACTCTACCGATGCCTCCCAGATGAGTGTAGCACAGCTCGTGCAGCTTCTCAAACGATTCGGCCTCACCGTCGTAGCCACTGGTGACTCAGCGGACACCACGGCGCCTCGTGCGCCGCCGAGAAACACAGAGCAGGCTGCTCAAGAGTCAGTGTGGGGTCCACCCAGTCCCGTTCCAGCCGCGAACGGTGATGGAGACGGCTGGGCCGTCGTCCAGCGCCGACAGGGTGGTCGGCGCCCCCCGGCGCAGGGTAAGGCGCCACCCACCCCGCCCCGCCCCCGACCGCCCACGGCGGTGCAGGAGGCGCTGCGGCGGGGGGAGGAGGAGAGGAGGGCACGAGAGGCGAGGAGGGCTCGCCTCGTCCAGAAGGCCCTCGAGGCTAAGGAAGCCTCGTCTGCCGACTCCTCCTCCGGGAGTGCCAATGCGGCTGTTGCCGCTGACACCCCGGAGACACCTGAGGCGGGGACTCGGCCCATCATGGGTCCCCCGCCGCCTCCTCCACCTCCGCAGCGGCGGCCACCACCGCCGCTGCCAGAGACGCCTGTGTCGAGGACACAGGCCGCCGCCTCGACATCCCCGTCGGGGCGGCAACAGACCTCCGCGGCTCCAGGGCGCCTCGCCAAGCGGCAGACGCCCCCGAGCTGGTCACCCTCGGAGGGTGACGCCCCCCGGGCGAAAAAGCCCCAGCAGGGCTCGAGCCACGCCCGATCTGCCTCTGCTGAAGGGAGGCTACACCGAGAGGGCTCGGGGCATCCCCGTATCCGTTACGGGGGGAGCGCCTCCTCGGAGTTAGAGGACCTAGTCTAGTCTTTCAGTCTAGTCATTTCCTCTTTTATCCTTTTATCTTTTTCGCGCTATTGCGCTTTTTTACCAGGTGCATTTCTCTCGGTGCTTTTTACCTTTTTTGTGGTCAGTCAGGTATCTGTGTGCGCCTTTGCCTCATGTTATACGCGCCCTTTTTGCGCCTTTTTAACCACGCCTTTTATTCTACAGTGGAACTGTAGAGGCCTCCGGGCCAACTACCAGGACCTACAGTCTCTTATCCGTTGGCGCACACCCCTTGTTTTAGGTCTCCAGGAGACCAAGCTAGCGCCAAACGTTACCTTTGCCATCAAGGGCTACTCTGTTTTTAGAAGAGACCTGGACACCCCTACCATTGCCCATGGAGGAGTGCTTCTGGCGGTTCACCACAGCGTACCTGCTCGCCAGGTGCCGCTGCAGACTCCCCTGCAGGCGGTGGCCGCCAGAGTTGATTTCAACCACCGGGAACTGACAGTGTGCTCTTTATACCTACCACCAGGTATAGCGCTCCCGGTGGTTGAGCTGCATCGACTCGTCGATGAGCTTCCACCTCCGGTCCTGGTAGTCGGCGATTTTAATGCCCATAGCCTGGCGTGGGGATGCGACACGACTGGCACTCGTGGTCGACTTTTAGAATCTTTTATCCGCGATGAGGCGCTGTGTATTTTAAATACAGGACAGCGCACCCATTTTACAACACCCTCCGGTCAAACATCGGCTCTGGACCTGAGCTTAGTGAGTCCGCGGCTAGCTCAGCTTTTTACCTGGTCCGTCCATGACGACCCACTCGGGAGCGACCACTTCCCAGTGTGGCTGGAGCACCAGGAGTCCCCAGTGTCAGGCAACCGTCCACCTAGGTGGAATGTTCGGAAAGCCGACTGGGGCGAATTCCAGGCCGCTGTAGAGGCCTCTGTTTTATCCAGAGCCGACCCCTCTGTGATGTCTACAGAGGATTTTACATGTTTACTCATTGACTCCGCAAACGGGTGCATACCCAAGACGTCGAGTCAGCCTCGTCGTCCTCCGGTCCCGTGGTGGACCAAGGAATGCGGAGATGCGATTCGTGCCAGGAAGCGCGCTTTTAGAAAGTTTGACCGGAGTAGTACTACTGAGAACCTCATCGCTTTTAAGAGAGCGCGGGCTTTTGCCCGACGCGTTTTAAAGGAGGCAAAGGCTGTTTCATGGCGCACTTACGTAAGTTCCTTAAACCGTTTTACTCCTACGACGCAAATATGGGCACGCATGAAGCGCATTGAAGGCCGGTTCAGCTCTGTTCCGCTTCCGGTTTTAAGAGTGAACAACACGGACATATCTCACCCTTCAGACGTCGCAGAGACGATAGGCCGTGCACTCTATCAGCGCTGCCGAGGAGAGCCGTCCTCACGACCTGCACCAGCCGCCGTGGACTTCAGCACAGCTGAAAATTTGGTGTACAACGAGCCTTTCTCTATGGCTGAACTCACGTCTGCCATCAGCTCGTTGCGCAGCGTCTCAGAAGGTCCGGATGCAGTCCACAACGACATGCTCCGTCATCTACCCACAGTTGCCCTCGAGGCGCTGCTAGCAACCTTCAATTCGCTTTGGGAGACTGGCACCTTCCCTGAGACCTGGCGGGAAGCCATTATCATTCCTATCTTGAAGGCTGGCAAGTCGGGACATGACCCTCTCCATTATCGGCCCATCTCTCTCACATCATCGCTTTCAAAGCTGATGGAGAAGATGGTCAATGTGCGTTTTAGCTGGTTTCTGGAACATCACGGTGTTTTTACAAACGCCCAGTGCGGTTTTAGAAAGCACCGCAGCCCTGTTGACCACATTTTAGCCCTTGACACCGAGATACGCACCTGTTTTACTGAAAAGAAGCACCTTGGAGCACTGTTCTTTGATATTGAGGCGGCCTATGATACAGTCTTACGACACAGCATACTTTCCAAAGTATATAAGTACGGCATACGCGGCCGGATGGGCCTCTTTATCAAGAATTTTTTATCGGGTCGTCGGTTTAAAGTCCGAGTTGGCAGTGATTTCTCGAGCAGTTTTACCCAGGAGAACGGAGTTCCCCAGGGTGGGGTGCTCAGTGTGGCGCTGTTCGCGGTGGCAATCAATGACATCGTCGACGACCTCCCGGTTTCCATCGGGAGATCGCTTTTTGTCGACGATTTTGCCATTTGGTTTGCTGCTTCAAGCGCTCGACACGCGGCTAGACAGCTGCAGCTCGCCGTAACACGTTTGGAGAGGTGGAGCGGTAAGAATGGTCTTCGTTTTTCCACAGCGAAGACCGTGGCAATGCACTTTTGCCGCCGACGTTGTGACGACCTAGCTTTGGGAATCAAGCTCTACGGACAGGTGATTCCCACTCGGCCGGTGGCGAAGTTTCTTGGGATTTATTTTGACAGTAGCTTGACGTATAAGGAACATTTTAGAACGCTTCGGGAACGGTGTTTTAAATCCCTGAACGTTTTAAAATGTGTTGCTCGCACATCTTATGGTGCGGACCGCAGGACCCTTCTTCTCCTGTACCGATCGATAGTTCGGTCGAAGCTGGATTACGCTTCTTTTGTGTATGATTCAGCGAGCCAATCCAGCAAAAAGGTCCTCGACGCAGTCCATCATGCTGCAATCCGTGTCGCCACCGGAGCATTCCGCACCTCGCCCAGCAGCAGCCTTCTTGCTGAAGCGCACGAGCCGCCTCTATCCCTACGCCGCCAGATGCTTGGGATGCGCTATGCGCTGAAACTGCGTCAGTTCCCGACGCATCCGACGTATCCGTACGTCTTCTCCACCTACTACACTCGACTTGACAGAGCGCGACAATCGCTCTGCTTTGGAGCGCGCATGAGAGGTCTCTTCTCCGCAGCCAACATAGGTTTACGTGTCGTACGACGTAGCTGGGGTACGTCCTCTCCGCCTTGGAAACACGCAAAACCTCAAGTAGATCTCTCACTCTCCGAAGTTAAGAAGGATGACTTGCTGCCTTGTGAGGCGCGAGTCAGGGCCTTGCAACACATCGTCTCGTACGATGGTTTTAACACCATTTTTACAGACGGATCAAAAACACCTGAGGGAGTGGGATGTGCTTTTATCGCAGGTCGCGATACCCGCTCATTCTCTCTACCTTCTTTTGCCTCGGTGTTTTCATCTGAGCTAGTCGCCATCGAGAAGGCTCTGTGTTTTATCGAGGTGTCGGACGGCCTTTCTTACTTGATTTTATCGGACTCCCTAAGTAGCCTTTTGGCGTTACGGAGTTTTAATCCAGTTGACCCGATCGTTCAAGACATTTTAGCTCGACTTCAGTCAGTGGAACAATCGGGAAAATTTGTTCAGTTCTGCTGGATTCCCAGCCACGTCGGCATACACGGCAACGAGCTGGCAGATGCGGCCGCGAGGCGCGCGGCCGCAGCCTCCTGCACTCGACGTCTGCCATTGCCGGCGCGTGACCTTTATTCGGCTGTGCGATCTTTCATTCTCTCTGAGTGGCAGGCAGAGTGGAGCCTACGTGGAGGCGGAAAGCTCCGTGAGGTGAAGCCGACTTTGGAGCCATGGAGGTCTTGCTTGCAAGACAACCGGTCCAACGAGGTGATCTTGTGCAGGCTCCGAATCGGCCATACATATGCCACGCATGGCCACCTCCTCCGCGGAGACGAGCAGGCCATTTGCAACGGTTGTTCCGCGCCTCTTACCGTCGCTCACGTGCTCTTATCTTGTCCACTTTTAGAACCAGACCGGACGCGCTACCTCGGCCGCATCGCTCCGGGCACCACTGTCCGCCACCTGCTGGGTGACGAGTCACCCTGGGTTTTATCTGGCAACATCTTTTCCTTTATCCGTGCAGTCAAATTCCAAGCGATTTACTCGACCTGACCCAAATCCTCTCTAGTCTCCTTGTCTAGTCAGTTGTCTATTACGACGCTCTTGCGTTGTTTTATTTTACCCTGTCTTTTTCATAAAGTCTTTTACTTTCTAGTCTTGATATCTAGAAAGTTTCTTCTTTTGAAACACTTGTTTTACTAGCGCGACGTTATGGGCGCAAAATGACCTTTGCAGTCGACGCGCCCGAAAGCCCCAATAAACAAACAAACAAACCTCGACTCCCTGCTGTTTTCTGAGCGCCTTCAGGATGCGCGCCTCGTTCAGCACCCGCCTGTGACGCGACTGTCGCGAGATCCACACCACGCGCACCGTGTCGTCGGCGACGGTTCGCCGCAGCGGCAGACCCAGCCGGTGCAGGACGTGCCGCTGGAAGGCGTGGAACAGACCGCTCTGACGGCAGCCGGGCACCTGGAAAGGAGAAAGTGGTCATAAAGTCATGATGATGATGCATTGGTTTTAGGGGCGTCCAGGCTGCATTTGCTCATCGTCGCCACAGTGTAATCAAACTACAGGGTGTCCCATAAGTTCCTTCTCACCTAAATTTTTCTTTTAGAGGCTCTCTTATTTAAAGCCACGCTTAATTTATTTTGTAACTGAGCTTTTGGGGTTGCCATGGCAACTGTGAATGTGCTCCACGGTAACTAATTCGTCTAGACAAAATATTTTTTTGCCAGAGAGTTCACTTCCTGTGGAGACGGCTTACGCCGCAACATAGAGGTCTCCGATACGGGAACGTCTCGGTATTTAGTCCACACTGGGCCATTCACGACGGTTGAGGGTGATTGAGGCCATCCAGTATGTAGCCAATGTCTGTCGCTAACTGGACGCACAGTCAACAAGTGACGCCGATGATTTGTCGGGAGTCAATCGCTGCAAGTTTACGCTCTTTTTTGTCAGCTTTCACGAGTGAGCCATGTGGCCAAAACTGTGTGGCGCGAAAATGGCTGTCAAAAAGGTCTTAGCGTTCGAAAGTTGGTAAATAGGCTTTTCAGGATGCATTACCAGCTGTCGAAGAGTATCATTTCGGGGTACCTAACTCAAGGTGACTTAAGCTCTACTTACCGGAGGGCTCAAAACAGTCAAAAACGTCTTAAAATGGCCAAACATGTGTTTCGTTATGCCTGAGGCTAAAAAACTGAAGGGCCGATGGCATCAATGTGGTCATCTGGACTACCTAGTCCGTGCTCGAGATAAACCACCGGTGCAAACCCCAAATCGGTCCCATATGGGCGACGTAAAAGGCTTTTATGTCATCCCGCTTTATTCCTATGCAAAAGGCCAGAGTCACGGTAATGTGGGGTAATATGCGTCCAGACACTGATCACAATGCGATTGATACTCCAGAAACAGTCTTGGGACGCAGAATGCTTCTCCAAGAAGATCTAGTAGGAGTTTCAGCTTTCTAGCTTAACTCGAACCGCAAGTATGACCACATCTTTTTAGGAGAAAATGGCATCCGGGAGGTCGTAGGCTCATCTTCAAGCAAGACAGTGCATCAGTGCACAGGTCAAGCAAAGCTTAGAAGCAGTGCCAGGAGACTGTGATAGGCGTGTGTGGTAAGATCACATCCCAGCCAACTCATCGGATCCAAATTTCATAAAAATGTGTTGGGAATATTGAAATCGAGGCTCGTCGAAGCGAACCGGTGTTTCAGCATTGAGGAGCTCACGGCGCATGCCAAGTCAGTCTGGGCTAACTTCAAGCCTGTTATGCTGCCAAACATGCCGGTTGGCATGTCGCAGCATGTATTCATGTGTTTGCCTATGAAATGGGGAGCACATTGAGGGGTTATAAACATATCAAAACGCAATGTACTCTGTTTTACATGCAAATATAAGGTGAGAACGAACTTATGGGACACCCTGTAAATGACCCGAATAAGGTGACCGGGGCGTGAAACAAGTCATTATGGCGACAGTCCGGTGGCGACAACCAAGTTGTTAGTAAAATAGGCGTCACAAATAACAGGCATGGCCTCACTGGACGTCACATACGGCATTCAACGTCGCAACAGTCAGTGTAGTGTCACATTATACGGCTACGTGCTGCACTATGTTGGACCGTGGACATTGTCAAAAATGGGCGCCTCACCAGCGGTGTGTTGTAGAACAGCCCGAAAATCATCCTGGGTGGCAGCGGGAACACCACGTCTTTGAAGCAGACCCGCTGGCCAATGACGTCATTCAGAGACCAAATGGGACGGCTGGAGAACACCTGCAGGAACAGAAACGTCCATTAGACGTGTGGGTGAACTACACTCATGATTCAAAGAAAATTTGTGTATTGTTAGGAACGTAAAAATGCTTCGACGCAGATCGCTTGTCGATTTGAGTACTTTTAACACAAATATGCTCTTATTTACGCTAAGCCGATGGACATCTACAAGTGAATAATTCGTCCACTTCAAGAGTCCGGTTTCGGTGATGACGGTTTCTCAAGTAAATTAGCCAACTACATTTCATAGATAACCACCACACACTCCAACGCTGCCCAGTTAAAATCAGACGGCACGAAAAACATCCACCCCCACCAAAGTCCATCAATTGCTGAGACCACCCCACCTGGAACATGGGCGCGAAGGCGGACCGGTAGGGCACGTTCTCCCAGATGAGGATCTGCTTGTCGCGGTGGAATGAGCCCGGGTGGTCGCCGTCCATCGAGTCGTTCAGGTGCTGGCTGGCGTACAGGTTGAAAAAGTCGCAGAAGTGGTGGTACATGCTGACCGCTGCGGTCGACGAAAAGACTTGCAGTCAATGAGGGAGCTACGAGTCGCAAATACGGCATAAAACGGTCTACGAACATCATTTTGACATGTTTCCACAATTCTACAGCCCTTCATGTCAAAGTCTTAAGATGTATGCAGAGGTCCGTGCTTCAAATAAAAGTTAGCAGGGCAGAAAGTTCTTATAATAGCTTGATAGTATTGGTCACAAGTTCTGGCGTCGCAACTCATATCCCTACCGCATTTCGACGATAAAAACTCAAATAACGTCCAAAAAAAGGACATTACCAATTGCTACTCGACTCACAGGCGTCGAGTTTCATGATGTAGGTGGGTGTGGTGACGACCCGGTCGCACTCTGGCCGACCGGTTAGCGGTCTCTCCGCCTGCGTCAGGTGCTGGATCTCGGGTGACCACGACTGCAGCGCACTCATAAACTCCAGCTCGGACGACAGCCGGTCACGGTCCACGCTGCAGGGCACAGGAGCGGGGCGGTCACGGCATAGTGTGGACCCTACTCGTGGAGACGATCGTTAGCATGGTGCGAGGGCGAGCATGGACAATCGCTGGGTGCTGACAGACAGGTGACCACCATTTATGCTATTTTATATGTGAGATAGATATCATATAAATTTAAATGGAATAGACTTTAATACACTTGTACAACATTCATCAGAATGATTTGCTCCACAGTAAGTCAACTGAAGTTATGGATTCCCCTTATAAAGAAGGTACCAAATTGGACATTACCAGAAGTTACTGTGTGTGGTGGGGACAGAGCTCCCACTCGTGAGGTGGGACTCACCCAGTGTAAAATTTTTACTTCACCGTTACCTGTGCAGATGAAAAAAGTTTTGTTTTTTACCAGTCAGTGATGAAAAAAATTGACCGATCTTAACATGCAATGATGATTTTTGAACAGATACTATGGAAATCTTCACCATGGTTGGTGGTTCAGTGCACCATCCAAGCCGAGGTCATTCATCCACCTTTTTGATCAGCTAGATATGTAGTTCAAGTTGCTGTCTTATTCATAGGTAATAAGAATGATCTACAGTAAGTGACATATTTATGAATATTCCTGCAGTCAATTCATTCTCAAAATTAGCTACCTAGCACATGATTTGACAAGACTGCATGTCTGATATCATCATATCCGAGTCATTGGGTAAGGAGGTATCCAGGTACAAGCAGAAATGGGGACAGTTTTTTGAAAAGATGCTAATCAGGACTGACTCATCAAATAAATGCAGAAACATTGTTTTAGATGGGCACACGTTGAAAATATAAGCAAATGGGCTAAAATTTCATCGTATCAGTATGGACCTATGGTCATTATTCACAAGTTATGGGCAACAATCAGCACCATCTTCTCTGATCAGAGAGGATAGTGCTCGAGTTGAAGGTGAAAAACTTTTTCACAATGTAAAATTAAAATAATTCTGAAAATAAAAATACCTACCAGGTTTCAGAGAGCTACCCAGCGACGCATTATCATTACGTTGCTTATATATATATATATATATATATATATATATATATATATATATATCCTGATCATTACCCTCTCTGAAAACGGAAGGCACGACGCGACGCGTTGTTTGCGCCGTAGTTTGTCACGCTGGCGCCAGCAAATGCGGCTACTAAATAATTGCGTTGCATTAAACCGAACCCGGCCCCCGACACCGTAAGAGGTGCAATTTCCCTCGAGACATTACCCAGCCTGCATGGCATCAAATCGGAAGAAACTTGCACCACACAGTTCAAAAATGATCGAGGCTGTCACATATGTATAGTATTTGCCATATCTTTCATCAAATCATGAGATAGCTTGCGTCCATGTTGCAACCTGGACACCAGTCCGAGGATGAAATTTTTGTTCATTTTCGAAAGGCAATATTTTTATATCAACAGCAATCTAAGAGTTTGTATGTATCTTATAACGAAGTCCAGTGTCTTATCTTCTAAAAAATGCATTACAGTCATAAAAATATTGACTAGACTCCCTACAAGCATTCTCGACTGGTGACTAAAAATCGAAGAATTTTTCATCCTCGGACACTCTGTAAGAAAACAGCTATAATTTCCCTAATATTCAATATTTTTCGATTATATCTTCAGCAAACATGGAGAACGATCCATTTAACATGCTAATCCAAACAGCAGATGATTTGGAAACTTCATGAAGGCGTGAGAGATCCCCGCGGTTACCTGGAAAATTTCATCCTCAGCCTGGCCTTTTTAATGCTTTTTCATCCTAATTTCATCATTCAGTTGTAGAACTAGTTTAATGCAATTCTTCAGGGAATGTTTATACAAAAGCAATAAATTAATTTAATTTTAATTTTTAGACATTATTTGATTGATAATATTGTATTATCGAGTGTATTTATCTGCACTTACCTACACCTTTTTATTGTTCTGTTTCTTTTTTTAATCGAGGCAATCACGAAGCGCATGATATATACACTGTGCTGAGATATTTCCATGGTCATTTCTATCATTGCTGATTGGAAAGGAAGGTGCGTATAATTTATCATGTATATTTTTTGTGGTTTTCATGATAGGTGCAGTTTTTAACCTTCTAACATTATTTTGGGACATTTTAACCGATTTGAATAAGGATTTGGTGCATTTGTGTTGAAAGATGAAAATTATGAGCCAGGATGAAAAATTAGCAGATTTCATTAACTGTGATTTTCCAGGCTAATACCGGAAAAATTTTACACTGGACTCACCGGCAGTGCCCAGCCATCTGGCCAGGCTTCAGCACGTCCATTTTGTACCGCAGCAGCTCGCCCCGCCGCTTTGTCAGCTCTCGGAAGTCGAGTCTGATGTTGCGGCCTCTGCAGAACTCCATCTTTGAGGAGCAATTAAGAGCAGATGCGTCCTGTTGATGAAATCCCACATCAACCAGATGATGCACCCAAGCATCAAATCTGCAATTTGAGTGTTCACAAAAATAAAAATTATTTGCTCATCTTAAACATAGAGATGCAGAATTATCAATAATCAGCACCAGGTGACTTGACACCTTTCATATTGATAAAACTGTTTCCAAAATCATCATAATCACACAATAATGAAAAAAAACTGCCCATTGAAAATGAGACACTCACCAAGCTACTATCTATAGGGGAGCATAATGGGAACATTGTCTTCATCCTCCTTTTGATGTACCCAAAGTCTGCTTGTTCATAGTACATCTCCAGCTGACTAGTTTTTGTAGCTGCCCATCCTTTACTTTTGCCATCACACTCAGGAACCAAGTAGGACTTAAAAATAGGACAGTTCTCTTCATATCCCCAGCATAATCCCTGGTCCAGATATGGCTGAAAATGAAACAGGCTTTATCATTCACAGTAGATACAATACAAAAGAGAATGAATCATAAGTCTGACTGTGTATAGGTACACAGAAACAGAGCCATTGGCCAATGCTTACAATGTCAGTGAAGCACACAGAAAGCCACTCATGACAACACAGATCTAATAGCAGACCAGACTGCAAAGTATGGCACGCAGGTCGACGAGGCGCACCGGCCCAAGTTCAAAATCCGCACCAACCCTTCAAACTGAGCCGGAAAATCCGCACCAAAGTGGGCTGAGAGCCGAAAAAATCCGCACCGAACCGACAGGCAATTATAATGCAAGGGACTTCATTCATCTCACCATAATTACTTCCCCTCCAAGTTCAGTTTCACGAGAAACGCTCACCACGGGACCGCGCCGAGCACTTGTACCGGAAGTTTGAAATAGAGCAAATAGACGGACGCCGGTGAAAACAGGGCGCCGGAGGGCATATTGGGTCACGTGACATTCAAACTTCTCCCCTCTCTGTGGGCCTTCTACATGCTAAATGTCACGTGTGAATTTGACGAGCCTTGATAAAGTCGCCCCAACAAACTTTCGCATGAGTAAAACTAATGATGACATTCCAAAGTAGCGTGCTGATTGGCAATTCAAACCAGCTGCTCGCAAATGTGACATACCAGTCACCACCGCAACAGTCTTCGTTCTAATGACGTCATCACGTTAATTTCTGAGGCGAGAATGGATTTGTTCTGCCGCAATTGTTAGTTCGTAGAGTATATTTTAAACCTTTCTCCGTCACCGTGCGTCACCGTAGCTGGCACGCATTTGTAGGGCTTTCCAAAGAACAGTCAACAAGGGAACCCGGCCGGGTAAGAAGACCAAGCGAAGTCCGCACCGCATCAAGGTCCAAGCCAAATCCGCACCGCACCAGGCAAAATCCGCACCGCACCACTCCAAAATCCGCACCAGCCGAGCAAGCCCGCACTGACGAGATCTCGTCGAAATTGCCATACTTTGCAGTCTGAATAGCAGAAGGGGCGGGAGGTTATTTAACTATTAACTATTATTAATTTAACAATATTAACTATTACTATTATATTAACTATAAACTAATTTCTGGATCCGCCACTACAAATATTCTGCAAAATGCATCATGAGGTACCAAAGCTGTAAGAACGGAATCTTGGTAAGAAAAATAAATTATAAATTGGCTTACCTTCAGTTGGCAGCTACCGTTCCTCCTGCAACCGTCCGAGAACCGCTGGTGGGAATTAACATAAAATGGTACATGCTCTGGTGGAAGGGCAAGCTCGGAAACAATGTTTCCCTTGCATTGAATAGATATCGCAATTAAAAAAATAAACAGCGAAACAGCCGTCATCGAATATATCATCAGGGGGTATGGGACGACGGTGAAAACAGGGCGCCTGGGGCGATTTGATCAAGGTTCGTGAAATTTACACGTGACTCTCGGAATGTAGAAGGCCGAGAAGGCCAACGGAGGGGGAGCAGTTCCAAATATCACGTGACTAATATGCCCTGCGGCGCCCTGTTTTCACCGGCGTCCGGGGTATGACCATCGGCCGGCGAAAACAAAATCGGGACGCCGGTGAAAACAGGGCGCCGGAGGGCATATTAGTCACGTGACATTTGGAACTTCTCCCCCTTTGTGGGCCTTCTACATGCCAAACGTCACGTGTAAATTTCACGAACCTTGATCAAATCGCCCCAGGCGCCCTGTTTTCACCGTCGTCCCAAAATCGCACGTTGTTTTATGCCGGTTGCTGTTCTGGCTCAGGGTAGGTGATATTTGGCTGGTAACAATGATCACGTGATTCATATGCCATTTAAGGCTTTTTCCTTTACATGCCATCTGTATCTTTTCATTATCTTAGAAATAAAAGATATTTATATTTAAAAATGATATTTATTTCAGTGCCTATCATTTAAAGGGACCCTCCCACCTTCAAAAAAGTTAATGAATTGGCATGAAAGTGATGTCGCTCGGTTCAGAAAGAGCAAAGACGAATATCTACCAAATTTCATCGAAAAATATTCACCGGTTTTCAAGATATTAGACTTTTACTTTTGTTTACTTTTTGGGATCTCCGCTGTTCCTAGCGACTTTATTTGAAAGTGCGGCATTTGTTGCGCGCTAAGCAGCATATACCACCGCGTGCTACAAAACGTTTTAGTCAAACATTTAAAAATCGTTAGATATCTGCGCTGACGTCACACATTCAGAGGGGTATTCCTATGCATTAGCCCCTCTGAATCAAAATGCTGCAATTTTGAAATTCAATATTTCCGATTTAAGGCATTTCTCGATGTTGTAAGTGCCGAAACCGGTAATTGTGAGCCAGGGACCCCATTTTGGCTATCTCAACTCAAATCTAAATGGGAGGGTCCCTTTAAGTTTGAAATTTGACCGAGCTAGCAATTTATCTAAATGTGATTCACTCACGCTGGTTGGGCCCAAGATTCTTGGTTGGGCCGTAGATGAAAGTTTCTATGTAATTCCCGACAGAAAAGCACATCTTCCGCGACCTGAATCTTTGGGAGACGTGCCGGTCTAGCCCGTGTTGCTGTGCAATGTGACGTCAGTTGGCCTTGCGTCAGTCGATACATAATCGGCCAAACGACATGCTCATAGGACATGGAGGATGCGCACCGCGCGTGCGCTGCGCAGTGCACATGGGACCCGAGGTCGAATCGGTGTGCAATGTTCAAGGGCATCGACCAAGGCCAGGCATCGACAATTGAGCCCAGCAGGGTGTCTGGACAGGACGCCTCATCTGCGGTTAGGCTGCGGCGCGCAGTATCGGATTGGGCCGGAGGCGCAGTGTCGGCCGCGGGTCTGCGAGGGGTGGCTGCGGACGGTCCGTCGGGGCGCGCTACCATGAAGCTGACGCCCGTCGGTGACACGGAGACGGTGGTGCGAGCCGAGCACGGCCACCTGGACGAGCTGGTGGCCCAGCTGGAGCGGCACGGAACACGCAGCGCCCAGGTACGTGTACGCAGCCCGCAGCCGCGCGGCAAGGACAAAGACTTGGTGCACGTTCTAGTATCTTATCTCACGACTCACATAAATAAGCGCGGAGCAGTTACACTCGCCACGAGCTCCCCAACTACGGCAACTGTACCTAATAGAAAAAAACACCCCAAGACGCAGAAGCTGCGCTTTGCGTCGTTTCGGACCGCGTAATATTGCCCATTCTTCTCTCTTTCAGCTGCGATTCGGTCTTCTATTGCTTCGGAACGGCATAAACAAGTACCGCTATGAGGTCTTCTACAGTGGCTGGTCGGAAGATATTTTGGTAATTCTTATCACGGTAAGCGATCATGTGTTCAGTTGTATCTCCCTTATTCCATTATGATTACAACGATCAGTTGATATGAATGTGACGGTCAATTTCACACATCATCGCATGTATAACCATTTGTATAACCAATAACCATTTGCACATCCAACTCCAGCCCGAAATCATATCGTTGGCCCGTGCTCTACAGAGACGAGTAGAGCACACCCGTGTGGTTACGCTGGCGGCACCAGACAGCCCGTCTACTCCGGGACGGTTGGCGAGGAACCTCCGGCACCCTGAGCTGCGAGCGGCCATCTGGGGCGGCCGGTTCCGCGTCGACGTCTGGCCCGAGAGTCTGATGCACCCGCTGTTCGATGTCGCCCGCCAGATGGGCTTCAGTGTTCGTTCCATAGTGAAGAAACAGGTGACATTCGCCCGTCCAAGAGGACTCCCGGAGGTCAAACCCTCACCCAGGTACGTCATCCCAATTGGATATTTATTCTGAGTCATTGCCAATAATAATAACTTAGCCATCATCACCTTAAGTCGTACATAGTTAGATAAGTGCTCACCCAATTTTCATTTAGCTTCTCCAAAGCTGTCCGTTTTTTTTTTTGTCGTTTCACAGGCAGGGAGTGAGCATCCGTCCGCTACTTCCTAAACACGTGGACATAGTAATGCGCCACTGGCCGTACGTCCATGAAATCGACGACGCGCACTCGATGATCCATGACTCCATAGTTGCCGGCCTGTCTGCCGGAGCGTTCGTCACCGAGCCACCGACGGGCGGCGGAGGTGACGACCAGGAGCCCCTGCCTGCCGACGGCCTGGCCTGCTGGGCGCTGGTGAACCAGGACGGCTTCTTGGGCTTCCTGCACACTTTGACTGGTTATCGCAAGCGCGGGCTGGCGGCGGCAGTAACGGCTGAGCTGAGCCGACTCTGCGAGGAGGCCGGCTACCCAGCGGTCTTCCACAGCAGTCATGCTTCTGTTTGGCGAATGGCCCAGAAGCTCCAGTATGAGAAACTGTTCCCCGTATTCTTGGCCTTTGTCACGCCCAATGACAATTCGGCAGCTCGTCTGTAAAAGTATCAGCAAGATGGCGAGATTGGGGACCAGTGCCACATACCCACTGAGAAAAACAACATAAAAAGCGTAAATAAAACAACATCATGATTGACGACGAGATCTGCCGCTGCCTGCCAGGCAGTTTGGTATAACACCCTTGGCCACAACAGGGTGACTTTGGATGTCATCTGGTGATCTGACCTGAGAAATCAACGGGGCAGACCGGTTAGCACCTCGACGTTCTGCCGCACCCACTCCAAGGAACGGGTGATGCGATGGACCAGCTCGGGAACACTTCCGCCAGAGTCGGACAGCGTCTCCAGAGGTCGACCTGAATCGCAGCACGTGCAGGGCAGCTGATCGAGAAGGAACTCCACGTCTCGCTCCCCGCCGCTGGGTAAGGCAGGTCGAATCGTTGATCAAGCCGAGGGACGATGCGATGGACTGTAGTCGGTGCGGAGCAGCTGGCTCTCAGTCTCCACCGATCGCGCTCAGCGTGGCCTGTCGACGTGGGTGTCGTCGCGCCCGTGTGTGTGTGTGTGGGGGGGGGGGGGGGCAACTGCTGGGTGAAGTGGATGAATGACACGACCGCCAAGTAGCTACTGCACCTCTTGCTGAGTTCAAGTGTGATAGTCCCCCCGTAGACTGAGCGAACTGTGCTACGGTTGGCTCGTCGATAAACGTCCTTCGACACCGAGTAGGGAGTGCTGCGGCGGAGTAGCTCTTTTCAGCGATCGCAAACAGGCAGCGGCCTGTCGGGAAAAGGACAATGTCATGAAGCGAGAGGGATGAGAAGAATGAGTCGCAGGTGGTTGTGCGAGTCCTCTTAGAACATTCACTTTCGGAAGTCATTCACTTTGACGTGCCCCATTTTGCAGAACATAGCAAGCCGGTGCCCAAATAAATAAGAGAATATTACTGGTACAATAAATACAATATTGTATTTTTAGATTTCTCAATTCAGGCTTATAATGAGTCATCAACAACAGCTACAAACACACACTTCGCATTTTCCGTAAAACAACTACGGACAGAGGGTTTAGTTTATTTCGGGGGCAAATATGCAAATCACTAGGAATTATCCATGTCAACGCCTACCATTACTCGGTACAAAACAGTCACCGACGCACCCGTCCCAGGCGAAGGCGAGCCACGTCACACAGAGTTACAGACGAGCGGCGCCGACTGGACGCCCCGGAGGTGGCGGCGCGCGGCTCACCAGACACAAACAGACGGGCGCGGCGGGCCGGGTCACTCTGGTACGGTGCCGGCCAATACAGGCACCCCAAACACACCGCGTCCAGGCCACGGCCGTCCGTCACACACACTGGACATCAGCCCCAGCAGGCGCGGCGTCCACATAAAAATAGAGCCTGTGAGTTGATGCATACTTCCACCACGTCGCACGTTTAAAACGGAGATGACTTTGGCGGCTGCCTCAGCCAGAAGCGGTATGGCACGGAGCCGCCGTACACGGGCACATAACACCGACTTCAGTCACGGACACTGCCTGCGTCACAGACACACAGACCGCGGCCCTTGCACACACAAAACCCAGGATTAAACCATCACACCCATCAACAACGCGAGCTCCGGTAAAGCTGACACTGAATTAATGCCTAGGCGAGCTCACTGCGTGACTTCACCCGTGATTCCCAGAGTGGCGCCGCGCCGCGACCGCTTCCAGTTATTACAACAGATATATACACACACGGTCAGCGCACGAACACACGGCACGCTCACGGCATCCACGTTCATCATTTGCTCACATAAAGTCAACCAACGGGCGGCGAGCGCGCCCCAGCTGCCTGGCGCCCGGCGGACACACTCGCGAGTTTGCGACATTTGGGACGACGTTGGCGACGTTCGCGGCGCGGGCTATCACGGAGCGGACTAGATGATGTGTGTGAGAGAGGCGGAGTCGGTCGGGGCAGCCACGGCGGTTTGTACTGGCGGAGGCCGGCCCGCGGCGATCACACGGACATGGCACGGCGGGCGGGCCGGGGCAGTGGGTCGCCGCCGCTACACCGATATCTCATAGCTGGAGTCGTAGTGGTCGGCAGGGTGCGGCGGCGGCGCCCGGCCGCGCGGCGGCGCCCTGTAGCCGCCGCGGTCCAGATCACCGGCCGGCGGCGGTCGGTAGGCGGGCGCCCGGTCGGCCATAGCCGGCAGCGGCGGCAGATGGCCGCCCCCGCCGTGGTCCCTGGCGCCGGCTGGCGGCGGGCGGTAGCCGTACCTGCCGGGCGGCGGCGGCGGCGGCTCGTAGCCGACGGGCGGCTTCCTGCGGGCGCCCGGCGGCGACTGGGGCCCGAACGGCGCCGGGTGGCCGCCGCCGTAGCTCGGCCACGACTCGTAGAGGGCGGCGGCGCCGTACTCGGGCTGCGGCAGGCCGCTGGCGGTGGTGCGCCGCGCGCCGCTGTACACCGCCACCGGACCGTGGAGCCGCTGCTCGGCGGCCGCCGCCAGCCCGCCGTAACTGGCCGACTGTGGGTAGCGGCCCGGCCCGGCCGCGCCCGCCGGCAGCGGCGGCGGGTGGTGGCCGTGCGACCTCACCTGGATGTAGTCGGGCCTGCGAGGCGCCGTCGGTGTGCCCGGCTGAGAGCGGCGCGCCGGGCTCGAGTAGAGCGCCGGCTGGCGGCCGCGACTGACCGGGCTCAGCGGGGGACTGGTGGCCGTCGGCCGGCGGCCCGGCGGCGAGCCAGGCGCTCCCTCCGGCGAGTACACCGACTCCGGCGTCTGACTGCGCGACTTGCGGCCCTCCCTGCAACCGTGCGCGACAGTCAGCCAGGGTGGCAGACCTGCGGCTAGTCTGGTCTTTGCTAGAGCAATAACATAAGAAGGATTACTCAGCGCAACAAGCTGTGCATAAACAACAGCCTACAACGAATCAATACAACATCTGAAAGTTGTAAACCTGAAACATCCCAAAGATATCAATCCTGAAAACAGATATCCAACCGTTATGCGGTATCGGTCAGAAAGACATACATCGACCAGTCACGGATCGTGAGCGGCGTGGACTGACCTGGAGGGTCGGGTTGGGTCTGTGACACACTGACCTGGCGGGTCGGGTCTGCCGTATAGCCACACTGATCTGGAGGGTCGGGTCGGGTCTGTGACACACTGACCTGGCGGGTCGGGTCTGCCGTATAGCCACACTGATCTGGAGGGTCGGGTCGGGTCTGTGACACACTGACCTGGCGGGTCGGGTCTGCCGTATAGCCACACTGATCTGGAGGGTCGGGTCGGGTCTGTGACACACTGACCTGGCGGGTCGGGTCTGGTCTGTGACACACTGACCTGGCGGGCCGGGTCTGTAACACACTGACCTGGCGGGTCGGGTCTGCGGCGTGGCGCGGCCGGAGTACTGTTTGTACGGCGAACACTCGCCGGCGGGCGTGCCCGGCGTGCCGGCCGACGGCCGCTGGGCGAAAAAGTTGGTCTTCGAGCCGCTGCGGGGCACCGGCGGCGACGCCTCGCAGTCGCGCGACTGTGACATGCCCACGTCCAGCTCCGCGTCCGAGCCCTCGCCGCAGCTGGTCACCTGGCGCAGCCACAGCACAGCCAATCAGAGGCCGCAGACCGGTGGCACTGGCCAATCAGCGACCGACTTATCGGCGAGATCGGCCTAGTAGTGTCCTCATCAACAGCGAACGATGCAGGGCAGCGTCAATTTGAACACTGACCAAACGTTATTTAACAGAGTGGGTGCCGAATCCAAGTGTTTTTCTTATGGGTACAGCCAGAGTTAAGCCATCGTATCCGATAATGTGTTATAGAGAGGTACCGATAGAGATCCATGCAAAGAAAACCATCAATTGTAGCCAACACCCAATGCAAAATAAAGAACGTATAAACTGAAAACAATCTCATGGAAGATTCAACGCTATCATACGAAAGCAGCAAGGGAAGAGCCACCAGTTAGATGCAATAAGGGAAAGAGCAGGCCCAACCGAATCGGGTATTAGTAGGTAATGCATTAGTAAGAGGGCGACGAAGGCATACAACTTACCTAGAGTAAAGACAAGAAAATAAAGACAAGAAGCGCAGTTGACTAAACGGTGGATTGCCTCCATATTGGTGAACTGTCTACTTCAGGCACGCGCGTAACGGGGGTCATCTGCAAGGAAGCAAGGTAAAACTCAACGAGGACCGACCAAAAATAATAAAGGCGAACTGTCACTCTGAAAATGCTGACAGTTTATGAAAAATCACTAGGCATTCATACAGCAGGCAAAACCAGATTACATAGGGCCAAACATGCCTTCCACGTAATGTTCATGTTGATCAGTATTATTGATTAAAAATGAGTTAAGCAGAGAATGTCCGGCAAGAAGTTAGACTGGTCGATGTTAAAAGCCACAAACAACGATCAAATACAACCGTATTAGAAAAGTATGGGACATCAAGTCGCTGCGGTAAGCCAAGGAAAGAAAACATTGTACCATACATGGCGAAGCAAGTGCCACGGAGCAATAAAAAACTTCGCATCGTCAAGATCGAGTCACCTTATGCGTAGTAGTTATATAACCAAAAGACTAGTGTAAACTATCCCGGTAATGTTACCGCCCATGAGTCGGTTACAGGGTGGTTTGGTGACAAGAAAAAATAATAAATTTGGGATTTAAGGTTAACTCCCCATTCATTTTAATTAGAATCGATTTATATTACGATAGACAAGTAGACCTATACTTGCTACGACTGTATATTTTACAGCACCCATTGATGACTTTCGTACCCGACAGAAAGAATGTTGCATCAAAGTATAGCCTTGCATCAAGGTGCAGTGACTCATCTTTTTCGCTAGTTCCTATAGAACAAAACGCGGTCACCAAACGTACGCCATAGGAGAAAATATATTAAATGATTAGCCAATGAAGGAGGTGTCGGGCATCAAAAGAACGCGCAACTCCAGCTACACTCTCTCATTGACCGTATATTGCAGGCTTTTTCACCTACACTCTACAGGGTCTCAAACAAAGCGCACGGGCTTGCATTGACGGGAGATCATTCATCATTATTACGTTTATACAAAAAGTAGTGCTCTAATGGGATACATCTGCATCCTTCATTTTAGATAAGCAGATAAATTTATAAATTTCAAAAGCAACAAGGAAGAAAAGGCCACCATATACATTAGTAATTGGGAGCATGCGGAAGGAGCCATTACCAGCGAAAGAGCCAAAACAACACTAAAACCTCACGTATTGTATCGTACCTTATATATGCTGCCGCATGCATGCAACATAGCCGAACATGTAAACAGAACTCTTGCATTGTTTCAGTGTATGTTATACCGAACAGCACACCATGAACCGTGCAGAAACGGAACTAAATGCAAACGTCCAGGCAACATGCGCCGCCACAGCTGCCACCATTCAAAGTATGGCTCCCCAATAACCCATAATTTGAACCGTCTCCAAAACTGTAACCTGGCATTAATTGATGAAAAGAGCTCGAGGTGAATGATATGTTATTAACGCATTTTAATTAGAGTACCACATCAACTGGAGATGCCAGCCAGCCGGACTGAGCCGTCAACAGAATAATACCGCATTAAAAACCATAAGGAATTTTGCATCAGCACTAGAGATTGGCTTATCGTGAACGACTGATAAAAGTCCATTCAGCATATAACAGTCTCACTGCACCTAAGACACACACTCTACGTGTAACGAAAACAAGCGCGGCTAGTGTCACAGCGCGGAAAAGGGAGCCAGGGTCCGGTACGTCTAGCGTTAATTACACGTTAGTGGCTGCTAATGTGTAGCGAGTCTGACCTCCACCGTCCTGTCCCTCCCGTACGCCGTTCAGGGACCGCCGTCCGCCCACCTACCTGGGTATACATGGCGCTGCCGCCCTTGCTGCGCACGCCGTTCCCGTTGTCAATATACAGTTTGACCTGGTGCTCGCTGGTGATAGGTGGAGCCACGTGCGGTGACGCCGGCAGGCTGTACGGGTGCCGCTTCCGTCGCGCCTCCTTGGCCAAACGATTAACGCTGTGGGCGACACGGGAGGCGGGGTCAGGTCGGGTCACACGGAGGCGGGGTTGTGTCAGATCATGGGGACGCGGTCACGTCGGGTCACAGTCGACAGCCTCCAAACATCCGTCGCCCACACGTCTAATCGCAATAGACACGTGTTGCGGATATACGGCTTGTACAGAGGAAATGCACTGACAGCAAGGTTCCAACAGCGCACGTCATGTGAAACAGCATGAAGTATGACATCATTCACTGTAAATAACGTTATCGGGCTCGTGGTATCGGTGCCGCCAGCAGCGTGACGTTACATCTGCCGGGGACAGCACAAGTCCGGGGGGTGCGACCGGGGAGGGGAGCGGTCCATGTCAGCGGGACTCATTGCAACCCTTCATCCCCACCGCTTCCCGTGCTCCAACCGCCGACGCTGGCCGGGAATGGGCGGACGAGGCCGCCACCACAATGGAGCTATGGCCTGTGGGACATGGGACGAGCTTGAAGTCGCCCTGGGATTGAGCCATGCATGGTCATGATCCCAGCACGTCAGCAGGCAGGACGTGACGGACACATTGCGGAGAAATACACCACGTAAGCTACATTAATCAAAACTGCGACGCAGGAATGATACATGTTGCTACCGTGCGTCTTGATAACCCGTTCACAGCGCGAACCTTTGCGGCGTGAATCATCCCTCACAGACCATCAGCGGTTGCGTAGGCCGCCTCACAGTCAACCCCAGCGCTATGACCCAGCAGCGGGCGCCGTGTGGGCTCATTGCCTCTGCCGCTGCCCGGCCCGGCGTGCCCGGCCGCCCACTCTGACCGGAATGGCCCGCCGCGCCGGGGCGTCCGCCGAAATAGCCAGGAGCACGCGCGCGGCGGGAGGCGCGACCGGCACGTACCGGTCCGGATGGAGCAGCGGCGGCGGCGCGGCACAGCCGGCCAGGGGCGCTGGTGGTTACGGTACAGATGGGGGGAAAAGAAGTGGTGCTGCTCAACACGACCCATCATATCTTGTTGGCTGTGTCAGTGTGAATTGCCAAATGCATAAATCCCATGAAATATGTACAAGAATATTCCTGTCAATGGAATGTGCCATTCCCTTGTGAAAATGATATTCGATCCTTTCTTCAAAGATTTCAAACAACTCAAATTCGACTTAAGTGGTAAGATGCTTGATATTCAGTAATGCATGCGAGCCTCCGTATCCGCTGGGGCTCACGGCGCATTGGCTGGGACGGACCTGAACCTGAACGGACCTGAAGCCACAGTGAGCACCCAGCTGACGGACGCGGATCGCCAACCACTGAGCAGTTCAACAGGAACGCATGGACGGGCGCCGTGGGAGCCAATATGACCGAAATAATTGTGGGAGCCACACACCACTTTCCGACAAAAGAAATGATAATAAAGCCAACATTCCCAACGTCAGTCTTTTATTACACCAAGCAAGGTCTGATAATCATCAAATAATACTCCCCAGTATTCACGCATTTGTATCAAATACCAGTCACCTTGGCGCAAGAGTCCACAACACCACCCACCTGACCCCACCCCGCCCGACCCCGTTTGTCACTCGCTGGTCCGTGTGACACCCCTCTCAGGTCCGAGTGGCGTGGTGAGTGGACGGGGAGGGGGGGGGGGGTGCGGTCGCTCGGAAGCCCCGCGGGCGAGCAGCGCGGCCCGTCGGCGCTGGGTCAGCGCCGTCCCTCCTCCGACCATGGAAATCCCTGAGCGCACCGCAGCGGCGCCTAATAGGCATTACACGGCCCTAATGGCGGACACGGAGACGGATGGTCGCCACGGAAACAAATGCAGCGACCGGCGGCCCGACGCTCAGGAGACCGCGCCACTCGCAACGCGCGTTCACTGAATTGGTAATACCAACACGCCCAATGTCGAGACGTTGGAGACAATTCCGCACAGATACCGGCGCGTCCCGCCGCGCAGGTAAGTCCCGCTGCTCTGAGTACCCCATTAGCGACGGGCACGCCTGTCCACGGGGGCGGGCGGCCGTCATTACTCCAGCACCGGGCGCCGCCGCGCCGCTCCGGCCGGCCGGGCGTGGGCGTGGGCGTCTCCCGACACGCCCACGGCCCCTGCAGATGACAAATGAACGGACGCAGAGCAGCGGATAAACGCAGAGATGACAAACGCTACTGGTAAATGACTCGTAGATGAGCAAGGATGTTTGGATGGGTACGGATGCCACAGTGACACACTATACCAAAAACAAAGTACGAGTGTCGCGGTACAAGAAGAGGTAGAAATAGCAGGAAGCGGAAGCGGTAGGGGAGTGGTTAAGAAAGGGCGAAGATTCTGAGGCTGAGGCAGACCAATGCATTACTGATATGATGCATTAACAAAGCCAATACATTGCCAACGGCAAGGTAAGCGCCAATGACGACTGGATATCCGAACTGCAATAAAATTGAGCCGAAAAGCGATGCTGACGAGAGTGGACGAGGAGCGACCCACGCTCATCAGCAGACTTATATAACGGCACTGATGCAGGTGCGGGCGAGTCGGCGCCTCGGTCCGCCGTCGGAGAGAGTACTCGAACGGCTCGAGGGCGCCGCCGCCGGCACGGCAGCGCTCGGCGCGAACGCAGCACCGATTGATCTGTCCCCAGCCGGACAGACACGCATGACGCAGGCGGCCGAAGCACGGCGAGGGCGACGGCAAACAGCGCCGGCGACAATACGGCGGCGAGCAGAAAACGTACTAAAATTAGCGGCACCGAGCCGACAGCGGGAGCGTGCGGCACGCCCGACCGTCACCAAAGCACGGACTGCCGTCATCGATACGGAAATGCGCAAATTACAGTGCACGAAGTATTTATAAGCGATGCGAATTGACAATGCTTGTAGTTTGAACGATACGTTTTAAGTCCGAGCATGCCACCAACGGGAGCATCCTCAAGTCATCAACACTGGATGTGCAGTGCGCATGTCCTCGAGACATAAATAAAAACACCGCTGACTTATCTAATGCCTGGATTCCAGGCATATCGAATAGCATCACAAGGAAGCCAGATATCAAGGCATTTCCCGATTATGTAACAAAATGAGGCAACTGACCCAACCGCCGCTGAAATGTGTAAACGAAATGTCCCGTACACGCTGGAAAGACCCTGCCATGAGCGATTGGTAATGCGCTAGACGTCGGACATCAAAAAGAAGATCCAATTTCAGAAAAATCCGCACTGCTGTTGCGTGGTTCCAGAAGACAAAGTTTTAAACAGATACATGGTAGGTGGGGTACCGGGTCACCCAGCATAAAGATGTTTAACCTGCACCTAACTAGAGCCAGAGCTAAAAAATAACATTACGAAGTCGGAAAGCAAGGCCAGAACTGTGCAATTGATTTCACGGCTGTGTAATACGTGTTGCGTGAAAAAGCACGCGACTCTTGCGAGCCTTTAGCTTGATCTGAGAAGCATTCTTCTCTCGTCCCTTCCTTTCACTTTCAGTTTACATAAAAACAACAAATACCAAATACCACTCCGGTCCCGGGCCTGCGAGATGCACCTCAGGCAGTCTGCACTTTATGAGACTACAAAACACTGATCCGAGTGTCAATAAAAACAGCTGTCGATTAACTTGCTTCATAGATTTTACACAAGGTCGATTGATCCTCAATATGAGGTCCGTCAATAATGAGGGATCATAAATTAACACTTAACCTCCTCGGCCCAAGTGTCTGGGCGTGACTTACTTGGGATAGAGCGGCGCCCAGAGCGTGCGACAGCAGTTGGAGCAGCAGCCCCGCGAGAACGGGTTGAAGCCGGAGCGAAACTTGCCCGTCACCTGCTCGTTGGTCGTGCGGCCGCGCGACACGAGGATGCTGTGGAAGCCGGCCAGGCCGAGCACGGGTACCAGCAGCACGCCGATCACGCACATAATCACCAAACTGAGCGTAGATACGCGAGACAAGTTAAGGAAACTGAACGGATAGACGGCTAAATAAAGGCACGCCAGTACCCTCTCAGAACACTTACCACGATGTAATGTGAACCAAAAACACATAAATATATTAATTAATTGAGGAATAAAACACTTAACCACGTGCTAACTTTAACCACTGATCAATAAAACATGAGTTGTTCAGTCGAAAGTTCCATGAATTTAGCGCTACATTTGCAGCAAAAAAGGAAAACAAAATCTGTTGACGCCGCCATTGTCCTGCCGATCCGAAACTCCAGCGCGACCGCCAGGGTCGAGGTGACCGGATATTACCGTTTCCGGGCAGTGACCGAGCAACTCCACGGCTTCATCATCCGCAGACGCGGCTCGGCCGCGCCCGGGCGACGTCAGCCACATGTAATTTGATCAAAGCGCGACGCTCCAAGTTTGACATCAAACCCAGTGCCCTTGCCGTCGGCTGGCGGGGCCAGTCTGCAGACTTGGTCACCCCGGCATGAACTGTCGCTGTTCATCGTCCAGTCCCGTACTCCCTCGCAGTATCTCCATCCCTCAATGCCTGTTCTTCTCTCGTGCCTTTTAGCCTTCCACTCCTCGCTTTCGATCCCTTCGTCCCCTCACGCCCCTTCATCTCCTCCTCTTTCTCTCATTCAGTACCGACCCACTCACTCACCTTCAGGACCCTTCCCTTTCCTCTCACTTTCCACTCCCGCCCACCATGCTCTTCCCTCTCCCTTGCTACCATCCCCATTCCCAACCCCGGTCTTCCCGTCCCGTCCGTCAGAAAGGATACGTGACGATGACTCCGACCTCTCCGAGGCTGTGCCGGTGATGCAGCACGTACACCAGGCACTGGCCGAAGATGGAGACCATGTGCACGCTCAGCGACACCAGGAACAGCACGAAGAACCGGTAGTTTCGCCGACCGATACAGTTGTTCACCCACGGGCAGTGGTGGTCGAACGTCTGTCGAATGGCGGCGGGAAAATGACGTAAGGACAGTGTCGGCCAAGTTCACACAGTACTCACCGATATCGACAATATATACAGCGCAAAAATCATACGAGCAGGACAAATTCTGGTCACAGAGACTCTCGACTCAACGTCAAAATTATCTCTCCTCCCACCCTGGTGCCCTCTGCAACTGGTCAAATAAAACATACATATTTTCTCTCTCAGCATCCACCATTGCTGTACAAAAAAAGCTGATGTCGAGGCTTAACACTTTTTGGTGATTGCATACGTCGTTTTCGGGCCAGGACTCAGTACACCTTCACTTCAGACACAATATGAGCAGATCCACCCACACACAATGGCTACAGACTGAGACTCACCTCTATGCAATGGTTACAGACGCTGCAGTGGGAGCAGCGCGGCGGCCGGTAGAATTGACAAGTGGCGCACCATTTCATGCGCACCGTGATGCCGCCGATCTCGACGTTCTTGTAGAGCGGCATCCGGAAGTCGTCGTCCCGGTCCTCGTCTGACATGGCTGTCAGCCGGGCACGACAGTCACATTGACTCACTGGCTAGCAATCAATACCAATACCAATACCAATTTTTATTCAGGCAAATCCACTCATAGTGGCTATTCCTTGCCATCAGTCAAGTTGTAAAATGCAGTGATATAAAAAGACATTCACACTTTCCACATGCACATAAACTAAAACGGGCATAATAAAAAGGGAAAAACTAAAATAAGTCAATAATAACGACGACAGCCAGTAACTAGTAGTAAAACACGCATTCCTATGTTTCCCTCGTGCTAATAACTCGCTTGAGAGCATGATTAAAATTGGCGACTGTCATCGTGCGCATTTCCACTGGGAGGGCATTGTACATCATCGGTGCACGGTACAAGAACCGGCGCCTCCCAGTCTCCGTCCGTACACGTGGCAGACGTAGGTCATCATCATGTCGAGTGCTCCGTTCTCGTGCCTCACGGTTTGTTTGGAGTGAGGATGAAAGCGACACTGGTGTGTGATACATGCAAATTTTGTGGAGTAATGCGAGCGTATGAAATTTAAATAGGTCCTCCGCATCGAGCCACCCCAGTGCCGCCCTGACGTCCGCTGAACGGCTGAACTTCCTTCGACCTGATACGACACGCGCAGCAAAGTTAATCACTTTTTGAATCTTGTCTAGATTCTTTCGGCTGCCGTTGCCGTACACAGGGAGGCAGTAGCGGACGCGGGAAAGCACCAGGGCAGCTACGATGGTGGGGAGGATCTCGACCGGAAGATAGTGACGGATGTGCGACAGGCCAATGAGGATCCCGAAGCATTTGCGCGTAATTTCTTGCACATGGGCGTCCCAGGACAGGTGGCGATCAAAGACCACCCCTAGATTTTTAACTTCTAAGACGGGCTGAATTGTACGCTCGCGGAATTTGACGCCGAAAGGTGTGATGTTCCGCAGATTTTGTCTACTGCCAAAAACTATCAACTGAGTTTTGTCGGGGTTCACCTTGAGAGAATTTGCGCGGAACCAGAGGTCAAGAGAGGAAAGGGCCTGTTCCATGCGCTCAGTCAGATCTGACAGGGCTGTCCTGTTGCCGCAGACCATGACCTGGGTGTCGTCCGCGTACTGGACAACGGTCGCATCCGGCACGAACAGGCTGAGGTCGTTTGAAAAGACGGTGTATAAGAGGGGACCTAGTGCCGAACCTTGAAAAACGCCCATGTTGTTCGGAAGCGCGGTTGATGTCTGCCTGTTGCCAGAGACATCAGTGAAGCTGACGCTCTGTGTGTGGTTCTGCAGGTACGCCTCAAACCATGCAGTGTCCACACCGTGTAACTGAAGTTTTTGAAGAAGCTTAGAATGGTCTATGACATCGAAACATTTACTAAGATCCAGCAGGCAGAGGAGCGAAATTTGATTTTGATCGTTAGCCAGGAGAACGCGATCCGAAATGGTGACCAGTGCCGTTTCGGTGGAATGGCGAGTGCGGAAGCCGTGTTGGGTGTCGGAAAGGAGGTGGTTGATAGTGAGGTAGTGGTACAGTTGTCGCTGCACCACTCGCTCAACTATTTTGGATATAACTGGGATGATGGATATGGGCCTGAAGTTGACGGGATTTGAAGGATCGCCGGATTTATGGATGGGATTGACGAGGGAGTGTTTCCACTCCGCAGGGATATCACATCGAGTAAGGCACGAGTTAACCAAATGGAGCAGTATGTGGCTGATCACAGGTAGACACATTTTTATGACTCGGACACATATGCCATCGACCCCGCAGGCCGAGGTTCCGGGCATGCTTAATATGACGCTGTTAAGTGTACAGAGGTCGATGGCAGACACGGCAAAGGCGCACGCTCCCACTCGCGGCAGCCTACCGGGGATACTCGGTTCACTCCCCTGTAGTCTCACCTCGCGCGCGACTTTCGGCCCAACGTTAACAAAGTACGCGTTCATATCACCAGCGGACACCAGGGGCACAGTCCTCTGTGATGGCTGTTTTCCCGCTACATGCTGTCTGATATTGCGCCACAGTGTGTGAGGGCCCTGCTCCTGAATGCGGTTGGCAATGTCCGCTCGGCTGTCACTGCGTATTGCGGCCCGTACGGCCCGGTTGGCGTCCCGGTACGCGTCAGACCCGTGTCCGTCAGCCCGCAGCGCTGCCCGCCGGCGGCGCATCAGATCCCTGGTCGCGGCGGTAACAGGTGGGGCAGACGGGTTCCGGATCTTAACGGTCCGAGTAGGCGCATGGGCGTCCAAAATAGGGGTAAACACTCTCACAAAACTCCGCCACTGATCGGACACGGTTCGGGACGCAAAAACAGACTGCCAGTCGGCTGAGGCCAAATCGAAATGCAGTGATGGTACATCGACATTACGCAAGGACCTACTTTGGGTTAAAATGGGTTTGTGGCGTGGTCGGGGGACGGATAAATCAAAACGTACAAAGCGATGCGGGCTAAAATGGCAGTGGTACACTCCGGACCGAGACACAACACAGCCTGCATTGGTAATCACCAGGTCCAACAGGGAACCGGAATTGAATGTCGGACACGTTACATGCTGGCTGAGAGAATATCCCTGGTGAATAATCCCTGGTATCACTGGTGAAACTGCTCGAATAACAGCTGCTGTTCCACTTCATATTAATTGCTCTTTATACTTTTCAGAGATGGGCTTTTATTCTTTTTTATCATGTCTAGCTGCAGCAAGCAATGGCCTTAACAAAAAGACATAAAAAAATGAAAACCAGATGTGCTTCTTTTTCTTATAAATATCCAAGCAATTGCATGCCTACCTAGAACAATGTCACAGAATTTGTCAATTTGGGTTGGAAATGACATGCAAATGAAAAGTATTTTTCCTTATCACCTCAAACTTTCAAGATCAATTTTCCACTTCTAATTTTACCAAGAAAAAGCATTTGAGTTGATTGTCATTTTCCATAATACATTCTACCACACATGCATAGAAATGTTAATTGTACATATACTATAGATCCTTCTTTCCAATCTCTTTAGGCCTTATCTGGCTGGCAATTTTCCACTCTTATCTCCCTGTTTGGTGAGAAATTTTCCAATCTGATTTTATGATGAAGGATAACTGCTATCCCATAAAAACAAAAAGAGTTTGATGCTTACAAAGCTAATAGCAGAAGTAAAACAGGCTTACCTCTGGGGATTATCCCTGGGTTCATAAAAGTTGCCAATGAGAAGTTGGCTATCACAAACAATGTGAGGATCCCCTGGCAGAGGGGTACGAGGAAGCCCCATGTCTGGAGCTTGTCGAACAGCCATAAACACCTGAAAGACAACATTGGTATGCTTATTCATTGGCTATCAGCATGTAAAACCACTGGGCATGACTTTGGTGGCATCCTTTTCGCTACTTGGCTCAACAAAAAAAAAAAAAAACGGAATGACAAAAAATAATAACTATTTTCCACACTCTTATCAGTAAGCATGCCCTTAATTTTCAACAATTTAAATTGAGTTGGCATGCTGATTCTGTCAAAATTGAATATAAAAACAATTAATCCATTTAAGATGACTGGATATTTCACGTTCAGGTGTCGCACAACTAGGTATTGGTCCAGTTGATAATATTATTAGAGGACAGGCTTATCCTAGCCTGCTTTATATGCAAGATATAACTGGATCCTTACGTTACATTTAAACCGTCTAAATGCAAAAATTAGAATTATCTAATTACAATATACCCAAACAATGCAATTATGACGCGGTACAGACGAGTCACTTACGGGTAATAAAAATATATTCCGGTACATCCTAGCAGCATCGACCAGGCGCATGTGGCCGGGATAAACTTTGTAGAAATTTTACATCTTGACATCTTGAATCAGATTCCTACTACGTCAAATGATCATTTATCCTTCCTAAACGAAGACAACCGACGCCTCCCACCGCAATCATGGCCGCAACTGCGGCAATCGTAGTCAGCTGTTGCTTGATTTCCGTTCACAAAATATTTTTGTCATACGAGAGTCTCTAAATCCTGGGAAACAAGAGAAAATATGAAGACTTTTCCCTAAATCACACCAAATCGACAGGCAGCGGCTACTCATTGAACACGCCGGAGTTGCAGGAGTTGGAAAGTGAGCAAAGCGTGAGTGTAAATCAAATCATTTCTTCGCTGACACATCCCTAAGACATAAAAAACGCCAATAATTTTCTTTGTTTTTATGCGCTCAAGTTCAACGCGATGGTGAGACACTCTAGCGGAGACTGTGACAACCTACGGTTCACATACTCGACACAGATGTCGCTATATGTCACCAAATGGCAGCGTATGCGCTTCACTCTTTCTGATCCTGATAAGCCTTCGAGGCAGGCTGTGTATATGCATCAGTCGGTTTATCGTAATTTTTATGCAGCACGAGGTCGCATAAATCGGGATGTGCGACCAAGGCCGTATAAGAGAGGTAGAATCATCCCGCAATTTCCAATGGACCGGTCGCTAAGCATTAGCGTGACGTCACTGGTGGAGACCGCGCGGCGCCCGGCTCCAAGCGGTACGTCGGGTACATTTGGCACTTTATCGTTGTTATTAATGAACGTAACAACTAATGACTCTTAATAACTTTTTAACCCACCTAAAGCTGATTTCCTTGCCGATACATTGCCGACCCGAGCCCCAGGGTTGACAATCTTGGGATATGGGTCGGATGAGCGACCTCGCGACGGGAGAAGGAACGATTGCAATTGTTGTGTCCCGCACCGCCGATTGCATTCCCTATCTGTACCCGGAGGGGGGCAGGGGGCACGTGCCCCCATCGGATCAGGGGGCCCGAGGGGCCCTGTGACGCCAATTGGCGGCTGAGGGTCCACGCTGGCATTTTCGACTCAGAAGGGCCCCACAGGGCTCGAAAGAACACCTTATGTGCTCCGAATAGCCACACTTCTCTCCATAAGAGCCACACACTGGCTTTTTATTGTTCCTTGTCGGCATTTGAGGGCCCCTTGCCGGCCTCTCAGGGCCCATTGCCGGCCTCTGAGGGCCCTTACCGGCCTATCAGGGACCAGCAGCTCTAAGGGTTCCACACACGCCTGTGATGACCCCCTAAACCAATGGTTGAAGGCCCCCACAACGGCGCCTGCGAGGGCCCTCACCGGTGGCTGTGAAAGCCCCAAACCGGTGCCCAGCTGAGGGCCTCGCACTGCCACCTCTGAGTTCAACCGGCACCCCTGAATGAAGTTCCAAAGGCCCAAACCAGTGCTTCTTAAAGGAAATAGTTCACTTTTAACATGGGGTTTTGAGCTGGAATAGCAGTTTCGTAGCTTGAGCTGAGACTAGCACAAATCAGGAGCTTTTACGGCTCAACGATCACCCTAGACGAAGAAATTCCATTTCTCGTTCCGAAAAGAGTGCCTTGTAGAGGAATGCGTGCCTTGCACAGGAATGCAGCCACGTCATCGTCAGCCAATCAGCGTGCTGCTTACAGCCAATGCAGTATTCGTAGGTTTGAGCTACGCAATATGATTGGTCAATGCGTAATAAGCTTCCGCGTCAAACATTATTTTACATAGAATATAGTTCGCCCTATATTAAAATAAAGAAAATAATTGTTTTTACAAAAAGGTTTTATTTTATTTCATGATTATTTTGAGCATAAAAAATCATAAATCAATAGCAAAATACTGATTTTAGGAAAGTGGACTGTTTCCTTTAAGGCCATACACTGAAAAAAAAAATTACTCAGGCCAGGCATTACTCAGTAATAACTCATGAAGAAACTCAGTGAATACGATAGTGGTGCTCACTTATTGGCTGATCTAACTCACATCATCAGGGTGACTTCGTTATGCGTGAGTTCTGAGTGCCTACTATGCATTTCAGACCCCATGAGACCCTACTTTTCGGCGATAATTTCTTCAATTTTTGTCCAATTAGCTTGAAATTTTGGCAAACGATATTTCAGCTCAAGCGCCAATTTTTGTCAATATGGTCTCTTAACAAAATATCAAAATTTAGAGCACTTGTCGTTGGCTCGTAATGTTAATCAGTTTTTGCACCCGGATAGAGGCTCGCTCGCTACCGCACCGGATTGGATAGGAGCGCTGGCCAATCACGTTGCGCCGGGCCCAACTAAACTCCGCCCACTGGCCGTGACCGGGATGGGTCTATGCCGCTTCAGTCGGTGTCAGCACCGCGGAGAGGTCGGAGCGAGACCACATACTGGAGACAAGTGAGCTGGCAAAGTTGTTTCGGGACGAAAGCCAAAAAAATTTTGAGGGCATTTGGTATCCTCTTCACTTATTTTGGTATTTAAACGTCGAACCAGCTCAGAATATTCAGAATGATCAGAATCAAGGTAGGATCTATTGGAACGGAACCGGCCGTAGAAGGAAAGATGGATAGACTCTTGGACTCTGAACATTTATTTAAGCCGGAGTTGCACCTATCTCATCGTCAGGTTGGGTCAAGTCACTACCCGATTACCTATAAGATCATGTGTAAGCCCATGTGCTTAACCCAAAAATATTGATATATTTGGCAGTGCCAATAAATGTTTCTGAGGAAGGCGCAGAAAGCAACAAAGTAGGATGAAGAGTCTCGGGCACCGCCGATTGCCTGGGGCATCGCTCCAGCGAAACGACCGTATTCGTGATTCGTGAGGCGGTGCGGGGCGCCGGGTGGGGCAGAAGCGTAATGTGTCGTATGGTAGAAATGGCCTTTATCGCGGTGTCGTGTGTGTTATATTGTTAAGACGTGCACAAAAAGAAACAGCAATGTGGCAGGCGGACGTTGGGCACTACACGAGAACGGTCATCAATAAGCTCGTATCTTTTTTGTAAAACTTAAGTAACAGTAGGTATGTCCTCAATGGTGAGGAAACTATCTCTAGGCTTTTACTTTTCATGTTTGCATTTCAACACACAAGCTCTGGGGGCAAAGTTAGTTTGGCGACCTCCTCAACCTAAGTCGGTGATCAAATGGATTAGTCCTGAAGGTGTTCAATGCTTAGTTGCACCGGGATGATATAAATCGATCACGCCGGCATACATTCCTAATCAAATTTCATATATCAAACACATAAATTGCATCATGTTAATGGTGATTCTGTTTTGCAATTTTGACGTAGTCTGACGCGTTACATAATCTTACGCAATCATTTGAAATCAACAGCGTCTTTTATGCGCGTTTTTTACAAGCCCCGAATCTTGTGTGGAAATATATATTTTTTGTGACTGAACAAGGTGTACGTACATTTGTGATAGATACAATTAGTCGAGGGCTTCAGCTGGTGCGTTACTTATGCGCGCTATTTAGCTCATTCGATGAAATTACGGCTGCAACGACAACTGCACGGCAGCTACGGTCCATGCGAGCCGCCCCGGTGCGACAGCTACTGCCCCGCCCGCTCCACGCAGTCGACTGACCGGCCAAGGTCACTACCCCGTCCGCCGGGAGGGCGGAGCTTAATGGTCACGTGTTTGTGACGTCACACCTACGCACGGATAGCCTCTACTCCACTGACGGATTTACGGAGCCGATTTTAACATTACGAGGCAACGACAAGTACCCTAAAATTTGATATTTTGTTAAGAGACCATATTGGCGAAAATTGGCGCTTGAGCTGAAATGTGCATTGTGAAAATTTGAAGCAAATTGGACAAATATTGAACAAATTATCGCCAAAAATTAGGGTCTCATGGGGTCTGAAATGCATAGTAGTTTCGCGAATTCGAACTGAGTCGGAAATGAGTTTTGCTTGGGCAAATCTAGTTTCCTGAGCCCTGTTCGGGCAGCGCATCCTACTGCAAAATTTTGCACCACGCATGCGCAGTAGGGGTCTCTCGGGTGCCAGGCTCCGCCCTTCGGCGTATGACGTCACATGTGTGACGTCGGCAAGCGCAAAATCTTTCAGTTTTGCGCAACAAGAAAATAGTAGCTGCAGGAGGCGAAAGTGGTGCGAATTAAAGTTTACCGTCCTATTATAGTCCTGTAAGCGGTTCGAATGCTGTTTTTTTGGTATCATTATCACTTTTTTCAGTGGCACATTGCTATTAACCACATTTGAACGCATTTTATTCAGTTTTTGAACGAAAACCACCAGTCCATCCGCGCCACGGTTCGTCACGCGTCGAATAATGACTGCCGCGGCCGCCGCGGCCCTCGGCTCTGGCGGCCCGGCGGAGAGTGGGCGGAGCCAGTGGCTGACGTCATCCAAGTGTGCCGTCACACGCTGCAAAATATTTTGCGCGGAGCCGAACAGCACTCTGCGCAATACATGAGTTCTCACGAATTCACGTGCAGTTGTGCGTGAGGTACCCCCGGCTTGAAGATGCGCGCATGCGCGGCAGGGTGAGTTTCCTGCGTGATGCGTGAGTTCGCGTGATGAGTATTATAGCCGTTGCGTTCGAAAACCGCGGCGCGCGCTTCAGTCCGTTGTGGCGCGGGTGACTCGCGTAGTTCACGTTGAATTGTTGAGGCTATTGTGAAATTGTGCAGGAGAGTGCAGGAGCGGGGAAGGCGTGCAGCGAAGGATGGGACGGGTAAGTTATCTGTGAAGAGCTCGGTGATTGTCGATGAAGCTTTTATCAATCGCACGCGCCGCGGAGAACAGGGAGGTGAAATGATGGACCAGCAGACATTCCCCGCCGGCGTCAGGAGGTCGGTGCCAACCGTGAACGGCGGAGCAGATCGATCGAGAAACTGAGGGATACCTACCCGGCATAGTTTGAGAAAGAAGAGGTGAGTTATGTTATATTTACATTAAAAAAACATGTTTGTGGGATAATGTTGTCCTTATCCTAAAAGAACGTTCATTTGACCCTTTTTACTTCTTTAAACAAGAACTCCGTCACGACCCGATGTTTTTTTTGGGGGGGGGGGCGAAGGTTGTTTGAAGTCGATTCTTTCCGTGCATGTTAAAAATGTAAAATATTGGGGGGACACGTCCCCCGTACCCTTCCCCCCGGTGGTGGA